TTCTTATTATAAGGGATCGCAACTAGCAGAACAACCAATTACAACTAAACGGGAAATTTGGAAGCTGAAAGATACAATGGAATAATTTGGAAGTCAATTTTACTCACTCTGAAATCTCGAAATCTGCCTATATTATCATGAAAAAAAGTTTTACCTGATGCATTTCATGCTGCAAGATCTCTATTATATATTTTTACTAATTGTAGTCCACACAAACGTCTTTTGAATATTCAACGAAGATCATCTTCTGGGTCCTCAATTCCTTCATAGCTTGTTAACCCAGGATCTGCACTTAAAAAGAAATACGAAATAGATATAGATTGCAGGATAGATCGCCGTGAGCGAATCGAATAAATAAAAATGTATGTATATATGTATGTATGTATGTATGTATGTATGTATGTATGTATGTATGTATGTATGTATGTATGTATGTATGTATGTATGTATGTATGTATGTATGTATGCATGTATGTATGTATGTATGTATGTATGTATGTATGTATGTATGTATGTATGTATGTATGTATGTATGTATGTATGTATGTATGTATGTATGTATGTATGTATGTATGTATGTATGTATGTATGTATGTATGTATGTATGTATGTATGTATGTATGTATGTATGTATTTATGTATGTATATTTATTGGTGTGTATGCATGTATATATGTAATATGTATGCACGTGTTTAATGTGTAAATCTCTATGTGTATATATACCCTAATCCAAGTGTTTTTGATCGTATATGTGCTTATATGATGTTATGCATGTACGTACACATTATACTTGACTTGTATGGCTTTTATAACTAACCTATTTGTCTAAGAAAGACTAAAATTCAAAGATAAAAAAACACAAAAAAAAGATAAAAAAGAAATAAGTTCTAAAACACATTCAAATGTATCTGTTGTTGAGGAAATTCAGGAATTTCGTCCAAATGATGAATATATATTTCTAAAATAAATTTTGGTGAGAAAATTTTGGTAAGTTGTAAAATTATCATAGTTTAAAAGAGATTTCATAGTTTAAAAGAGCTTCATTAAGATCAAGTCAATTTTTCTGCATAATCTGCATTAAGCACAACAAAAGTCTAATGACGGAGCATAATAAAGATAAAGCATGTACCATTAAGGGTTCTAGCAGTTTGAAGATAGCGCATGCTTGGTTTCTTGAACATGAAACATCTAAATGTCATAAAGCTGCTTAAACATATGAAGTGTTAATTCAAAACTGTAAAAATGTTGTAAAAATGTTAGTGGAAACTTAAAAAAAAAAAAAAAAAGATGAACGAAAATACGTCATCAAAGTCATAGAGTGTATACAGTACCTAGCTCACACCCCCTCTAGTTCGACAGGGTACTGCAATCCATGGAGACAATGAAAACCACAATCATTGGCAAATTTTAAGATTAATATGCAAAAGGGACTTGATTTACTAATTCGTATTAAGGACGATAATAATTACAAGTCTTAGCAACAGAAGTACTTACATACACAAAGCGCAACTGTCTATTTGCATACAATGGGTTTCTGTAAACTTTACTGTTAATGAAGATTTTATTCGTTTGTAACGTTTGATTTTTTGTCGTTATAACGTTAGGCTTTTTAAAATCCCAAATAAGAGATTTTTGCGCCATGTCAAAAAGAGCTAGAGTTTCATTAGAAGAACCAGCAAAATATGAAAATACTATTTTATATAGGGGTGATAAAAGATTTTTTGAGGTAAAGAATGGAATCAGGAGTAAGAAAATGACAAGAATGATAAAGACAAACAACCCTCGCAAATGCTTAGCAATTGATTGTTTACACGGTTTCCATTTGAGGTCAGTAGTGAACGAGAATTTAAAAAGAAATAAAGAAGAAGGCTTCAATGAGAGATTTCCTTTTCGTCAATATAGGAATGTCGACAGTATTATGATATGTGTTTGCAGTAAATAACTGAGTTTTGTTATAGAAGAAATTTACTAGCCACTGCAAGCCCCAATTTGTTACAGAGATAATATTAAAAAGAGAAAGACTTTTTGTCAAGAAAGAAGTATAAAAGTAAGTCATCAGCAAATAGAGCCACTTTAGATGTAGATTATCAGGAAAATCATTTATATAAATAAGGAACAAAATAGGATCAAGGATAGCCCTTTGAAGTACCCCAGAAGTTACTGGAAAGGTTGTTGAAGTAATTGTTGAAGAAGGTTGACTATATTAGCCTTCAAGGATGACTTAAATAAAGCAAATAGAAAGAAATGATTTAATAATTTCAAAAACTTTCCCAGATACACCATATGAAGCAAGCTTATGGAGAAGACCAGCATACTAAACTTTTTCAAAAGCTTTAGATATATTTAAAACAATATCTCTAGCCTCGGCACCTCCATCTGATGCACAAAAAAATCTTTTAATCACAGAAGTTAGCAAGTCATCCTTAGAGCAAAAGGATTGAAAACCATATTGATTGTCTGACATCAAGTTATTTTACTCAAGATGAGATGTGAGAAATTTGTTGATCAAATACTCAAAGTCCTTGCTAATAACAGATTGAAGGCAAATTGGACAATGGTTGGAAAGGTAAGAATATTCTTCAGAGTTTTTAAAGATTGGAACCACAAATGCTATTTTCCAGTAGGTAGGAAAGCAAGGTTCAGTCAAGCTATTATTAAATAGTTTGGAGAAAATTGAAGAGAGTTATGAAGAACATTTTTGTAAGACCATGACAAGAATGCTGTCTGGACTACAAGCAGTAGAAGAGTTTAATTGAGCAATGACTTTAGCAATAGAATCGGGAGTAATTTGAAAGAATATGGTCATTGATTTCAGGGTCAAATAAGAGGAAAAGTCTCTAGAGTTTAACTTCTGAAATAAAATGCGTAATTTAGTAAACTGGTAAAAACCATGGAGTAGAATTAGGTTTGACTTGAAACTAACAAGAAGGATTAAAAGCTTCCATTTTATCCTGGACCCAGAAGGTTACATTTGAGGGCGTATTTATCAGCGGAGAGAGAAAAAATATCAGTCTAAGGACCATCGCGAAAGGAATTACAAAAAGAATCTTAGTCAGCCCTAGCGTAGTAATAAGTAGTGTAATGATAAAGTCATTTAGATAAATGTCAAAAGTAAAAGTACAAGATAAAGGATTTATAAAGAACATTGCATGGTCGGAACCATCTAAAAAAAGAACAAGAAGAAAATAAATACAAACTAGAGTCAGAGACGAGACACAAATCAAGAAAAACTCATGAAAACGAGTCACAAAGTTGACTATCTAAGTAAGAGATTGAGAAATGTAAAAGTTTTAGATTTTAATACCTGCATGTTTGGTGGTGTAACAGTATTGGCAGATGAGTAAAGAGAAAGAGCATGGTCAATTAAATTAAATATTACATCTAAAAGAGTTTTGAGAAAAATAGATAAAGAATTGAGATGAAGATAAAAAAAAAAAGGTGGTAGAGTAAATTGATACTAAGTGGTAATACACAAAAGAATGATCAAAAGATTCAAATCTGACTTCTTAACAAGTAGGCAAATTGATGGGTAAGTATACAAGCCCAAGCCTAGCACGCGACTATTATCGTCTTTGCGAATCAAAGATAATATCCATCAATACTAAGATTTTAAGAAGAGACAGCTAAATATAAATTAGTCTCACAAAGAGCAAGCAAATCTGGTAAGTTTTGCAAGATATGAGATTAAACTGATAGATGGTTACTTTGAGGACTGCAAGTACTTGTGAAAAATTTATTGAAACAGTTCGAAAGTAGGGATGGTTTTTTTATGTTTAATATTTTTGATTACATACCAATACCATAAAGCCGATTGACTATTTTGCAAAAAAAATCAACGTTTTACTGAATTTTTATAAAAATAGTTAGCTTTTTTTAAATTACAAAAATTCTGTTATCAGACAAAGATTAAATTTTATGCTTAGTTCCTCAAAAGTAAAATAGCATCCTTTAAAATTTTTAATCTTAATATTTACTTTTAAATATTAAGATTTTAAATATTAAGTCTGTTGGCTAATAGATTACAACTTTTCACTAGCAAAATACAAATTTAAATTAATGGCAGCAAAATGAAATTCTTTATTTTTTTAACTTTTGATGTAATGACCTACTCATGTAATCTTATCATCAGGTAAAAATATTATTGGGAATAATATTCTGGACAGATAAAGTTGCTCTTAAGGTTGCTTTTTATGACGGTGGAAGAATATGTATCTAACTAGATTTGATGCATGTTAAAACTGACGGAAAATCATTAGGTCTTTTGCAGCCAAATGTAGTTGCTAATGGATTTCCAAATATAAAGTAACTTTAGCAAACAACTGTTTCTGGACTGTCAGATATACTGTCTGGTGAAATAGCATACACCCAACAATTATATTTTTGTTTAAATAGGAAGTATTTTCTGTACTTTTCTTATTTTAATTACTATTTCACTTCGTCAAAACATTTTTTTTGTGTGTCTATAAACATATACTTTATTTAAAAAAAAAAACTAAGATGTTGCCTAATAAGCATTTATTAACACCAAAAAACCATTAAGTATTGTAACCTCCAAGCTCCAGGTCCTGATTTACGCGTTTAGAAGGCCTAAAAGTATCTAAGTAGCACACTATGTTAGGAAAACATCAAAACATAAACGTCGAAATCGATATGATTACGTTTACCCAACGTATTATGCTGCCTGGGTACAAACGTCAAACTCATACTTTGTTCTAACCTAATTTAATAATGTATACTTTGTTATATTATATTTTGGTCTTATCTACTTTAATAATGTTAAATTTAGCTTTTTAAAAATTAAGTCATTCGCATATTAGGAATCCGCTGTTGTATTGCCGGCGTAATAGGCCGTCTTACATTAGGTTCGCAATTTGCATGGACGTTAAAATTATTAAACCTAAATTTTGTAGGTTCCGCACATGGTACAACTGTGGTGTCTAATAGAGTATCTAAGAAGACAGTCTTTTCGTATATTTTACTTTTCTGTAGCTATCAGCAAACGAAATATGCTTAAGATTGTACGAGTTTTAATTAAGCCTCCATAAATTTTTTATACGTATGCTAAATCTATCAGTTTCTATACAAATTTATCTTAAAGTACTAATTAACAATATAGTTTACTTTTGAAAGAAAAAAGCTCTCTTACAATTTTGAAGAAGTTGTTAACGTCCAATTTAAACTTCATTATAAACGTCTTCTCTATAGTCTGAGCCTTTTCATTATCAAAACTCAGCAGTTGCGAAACTTCTCTCTCTCTCTCTCTCTCTCTCTCTCTCTCTCTCTCTCTCTCTCTCTCTCTCTCTCTCTCTCTCTCTCTCTCTCTCTCTCTTTCTGTTTATTCCTCTTTGGTTATCTGTGTATAAATTATCCCATTACTTTCTACTCTTATCTAACTGAAATTTAATAAAAAGATATATGTGTGCATAAATACAGGATGTACTGTATTTATGTGATTACATTACATTGTTTGATTACATGATTACTGTATTTATGTATAATGTGCAAACAATATCTATGTTAGAAAGAGATTTATACATAATTATCTTTTGTTATTGCTTTTAGCTGTTGTTTTGTTTGTTAGCTAATGCAAAAATTTCACTAATTGTTTAATTTTCACCTATAGTGATCATTAATACACAAAATGGACACTGATTTATATGATGAGTTTGGTAATTATATTGGTCCGGAGCTTCCAAGTGATGATGATAGTGATGAGTCATCAGATCAAGAAAATGATGATGATGATCGTGAAGATGCAAGTATTTGTAAAACTTTATATATATTTTTATTAAACAGACAAGTTGATTTAGTTTTGCTGATATTAGATGAGCAGATACAAATATTTGAAATTCTAAGTTACAAAAGTATGACAAAATTATATTAGCAATTGTATTTTAAATGATTTATAATAATATTTGCAGGAAGATGAAGAAACTACTGAAAAAGACAATGATACTGTTGAAGTTTCACATGCAGTTGTTTTGCACGAGGTAATATTACATTAGGTATATAGTGTTTATTGTTAAACACTAAATTTTGACTGTTATATTATAGGTATCTCATATATTTAAGGTTCCTTAATATAGTGTTTACTTTTTTTATAGTAACTTTCTCAATTTACATACTATTTTTGATATTATAAATTTTCTGCCAATAAATAAACTAGCATAAATAAAAAAACATTTTTTAATGCCAAAACAATTTGCCTTTTTTTCAATTAGATAGTTAAGTACTTATTGTTTAAAGAAAAATATTTGTTAGGTTTTCTTTTATGTTTTACAATTTTTTTAGACAAGAATAATTCAGATTGTATAAGTTTACAAAATTAAACTTTGTTATATTAATATAATAAAAATATTATTAAAAAAGAACAAAGATAACTTTAAAAAATTTATAAATCTTCTTATCCTATCAAAGATTATCATAGACTTACAAAACACATATTTATTATAATTAGCAAAATATTTTTATCGTTTAGTTTTATTTTAGGACAAAAAGTATTATCCCTCTGCTGTAGAAGTTTATGGGCCTGATGTAGAGGTATCATAAATATGATTTAGTATGAAATTGTTATATTTACTATAAGTTTGTTAAGTTTTTTATCGACATTTTTTTATGGAGTTGCTTAATTTTCACAAGTTCATATCAATTATATTTAAAAAAAATAATGGTAATAAGTTAATTTAAATTTAACATTTTTTGTAGTAAAATCTTTAGTTTAAAAGTTCATTTTCCCTTAAACGTTTTGGTATTCAAAAGAAGTGGTAAAAATATTTATCTTTATATGATAAAAACATGGTTAAGACATTTAACATGAATAGTTAAGACATGGATCTGAATCAAAAAAGTTTCAGACATGCTAGCAATCATATGGAATGGTTTAAAAATAAACCTTGAATATGACTTTCTTTTACTTTCAGTCGCCCTTGCTTGACGTTGTGATTGTTAACTTGTTTCTCTATTCAGTGGCTTTATTCCTTTGTTTTTGTGGCTTTTGTTTCTGAATTTAAGAGTTGAGAAACGATTGAAAGAACGAAAATAAATGAGTAGTCTTTTTTTGGCTGTAGTGAAATAAAGTGTTAAACAAAGTTTTTGTATCAAAATTTGCATCAAAGTTTTTGCATTTTAAGTTGAAAAAATAATAAATGGATTCTGTTTCTAGTTTTTGTCAAACTATTATTTACATTGCCTGTCTTTAAAACAAAAGTTAAATGCTTTTTTCGAAAATGGACATGCAAAACTCTTTGAAAATAAAACATTTACAAAATTTAATTAGTAATTAATAGTAAGTTTGGAAAAAATAAAATATACTTGAGGTTTCATAATTTTAAAACATAAACCTGCTTGTAAATTATGGGTAGGTGGTGCTTTGAGAAGACTCTCTTTAATATAGTCTTTTAAAATGAGTGTTTCTTAAGTGTTATTGGGCAATTTAACAGTATAAGGCCCATAATATATTGCTCAAACACAAAAGGCTAAAATTAAATGCCTAAAGTGTTATGCCTATAAAAATTAGATAAAAAGCTTGTTTTCTCATTTTTTTTCATCTCATATATATCTATAAATTGTTTACAATCATAATAAAAAAATAATTCATTAATGTGGTTGATATAAAAGTCAGTTATTCACAGTTATAAAATTTGAATCACGCAAAATATAGTTAATTGTCTCAATTCAAACAAAATTTTATTGTTATATATAGGCATTTCCATTTCTGTGTGTGATTTTTTGTTTTTGTTTTTGTTTTAGCAATTAAAAGCTGGGACTTAAATATGAGTTAAAAAAGTATAATATTTCACTTAAAATACTCATAAGCAATTTATTTTCTAAAAAATATCTGCATGAAATTGATAAATTCGCAACTTCCCTGCGTGACTTCTGTGTGTAATGTGTAAATTCATTTGAGCGATTGCTGTGACTCTATGATACATATTGCTACCCTGTAACTTTCTGGAAATCTTTACTAATGTTTAAAATATTGTTTTTTTTTAAAATATATACCGCTGACACATATTTTCTAAGGAATTGAAGTTTATTTAATAAAAAAAATTTGAATGTTTCTGTTATGTGCGTGATTCCGTTTCAAACTTTATTTATTCTTTGTTAACATTACTAATGTATACCATTTTTTGCTTACCAAATATTTATATAGGTTAGAATTAATTGAGAGTTAATTGGAGATCTCCAATTTTATTGTTATGAAAATAATAGACAGAAATTTTGTTTACTATTTATTGTAATTTTTATATTATTTTTATATTAAGTCACAACTCAGTACTTGAAATTATTTTAATACTACAGTTTATCTTTTAACAATATCCTAGCAACAATATAGATATCCTAGCTAAGTCAAGTTACATTTATGGAAATTATTGTATGCTAGGCTTTTTTCTTTCAGTACAAAAGTTTGTGAGGATGCCTAGTAAACCTTCTGAGATGAAATTATGTTTTCTTTATTAATTCTGACCTGCTGATATTTAAACAGAAATTGAAACATTCCTATCATGTCAGAGAAAAAAGTTGTACATTTTAAAAAAAATGAATAATATATTTGAGTTCTGTTGAATCATCAGTCTGATGTAGCATGCACATTAAAAACCCAAGAATGCATAAATTACAGGAATGATGTAATCTAAGCATTTAACAGTTTTTACTGAGAACTAAGGAACTAAAAATGCCTCAAGGCTTTGGATTTTCATTTATAGCTGCAATCAGTTTTCCAATATAAAAACTAACAAAAATCTCCTGTAATATATAAATTGACCTTGATTTAATATGTGTTTCCCTGTGTTTGTTACTTTCTCCATTTTTTGTCACCTCGTGTACCCGGTTTGGGAGGAAAAGTCAATATTTAAATACAGGAGATGCCTCTTATGTAACACTCTGCAGCCCATTCTTCTAATGGTATCAATCATTTGTTCACTCACATATTAATTCCTTTGCATCTGTTTCAAACTTTAAAATATTGAAAAGTCTCCTTCACATTGGACTCAAAACTTTAACAAATTTTTTAATTATTCCTTGTTTAATTTGAAAAGTTAGAAGATCTTTAGTTGAGTTATTATTTATTTATGTTGTGTTTACTACTGTGCAATTTTTTTTAATTATTACACATGAGTTGATATTGCATCTTGCCCTTAACAAACTTAGGTCAAAGAGGGCATTCCTTTAGTTTATAGTGAGCATTGTCATCAAAAATATTCTAAAGATGTAAGAAAAAGATATACTTAGTATAATCCATCTGTATCTCTAAAAAAGTGCAACTATCTAAGATCTCCCATCCCTATACTTATCACAAAGTTTGGTGCCTAAGTATTTTTGATATATAGTTTGAGTTTCTCTGCTAAATTATTTGTATTATTTGTTTGTAGTGAACTTTTCACAAATGTAAATAAAAATTTTAGGTGCAAGCTTGATTGATTATTTTTATTTTGAAAAAATTATTTTTCTAAACCTTACTAACTTTATTACTAAACTTTTTTTTTGTTTAATCCGAAAGTGAAAACATTACATAGCATTAACCAGGTGTCTTTTGAGAAAAACTATATACAAATATTTTTATTTTCGAATTTGTACTCTGTTTAGCAAGCTTTTTTTAGTGTTAAAATTTTTTTTTTTTTTTTTTGCTCACTATTTGTTTATTACCAGTTTTATAATTAGTTATTAGGTCAGTTCTTTATATTTCAATTAATAACCTGTTGTACACCATCTCTGCTTTTCATAATTTTTACATATTATGATTAAGCTCTCCATACAGAAGACAGAAATAAACCTTAGTAGTCCATTTATTTAAACCTTAAAACATAATGGAAAATGGAAAAAGTAAAATTTTCCTTTTGCTATAACATTGTTTAAAAATTGACCTTGAACAACAAACCATGTTAAAAAATTTCCTGTCCTGATAAGTGATCGATTGTCCTGATATGGTACTGTATGAAAATGTGTAGATGTTAAAGAAATCCAGATAAAAAAAGAAATTATGAATAATTTACGAATCATCAGATGAAGGCGGTAAATAACTCAGTAAATAATAGTAAGTCAAAGTTTTTAAATTTTAAATTACCACACAATAAACAAATAATTTTAAATTACCACACAATAAACAAATGCTCAAAGAAATAAATAATCTTGATAGATTATTTCTTATTTCTTTTAAGTCTTATATTAAATTGGCATGATTATATATACTAATCTATTTGTAGACCACACTGGTAAAACCACAGATGTCACATTTTTCTCATTTAAAAAAAAATGAAATTTAGTGTTTAGTGACATTAGATATCTGTTTATTAATAATTTATTTAATTAAAAGTATATTTTCCTGACATTTTAGTCTAGTACAATATAAAAATGCAGTTTTTGTGCTAAATACAAGTATTATTTATTCACAATGTTCTCTTGAAAACAAGGCACTTATTTTGGACATCTGTGGTTTTTTCGCTGTAAACTCATCAACTTGTAACCTTTTAGAGCACTTGTTTTTTTTAAAGGTTGTAACACATTGTAATATACAACTATAATGTACTAAGTGTGTGATGGGATAATATATACTCCCCCCTCTCTCTCTCTCTTTTAATAAAAAAAATTCAAACAAAATATTATATGAAATTTTTTTTAACATTATACAAAATAGCATTGCAACCTTATCTCTTCCCCAACCTCATCTATTTACCACAGAAAACCAATTTTAAACACAACATCAATAAAATTGTTTTGTTTTTAATTTCAAAGAAAAATGAAATAAATTTATAAAAAAAGATCAAATAAGATCAATAATGTCTTATTTTGCCCATTCAGAAAATGTTTAGCTTTAGTAAGTTTTTAAATTTTTAACCAAAAATGGCAACAGTTTATCGGGCAATTTGATCATTGATCTTAACATATGGGATGTAACACACATAAAATTAAATATTTCCATTTTTCCATATAATTAAACTTTAATTTTTAATATTTCATAACCTTTAATATTTCAATTTCTCTAAGTGAACATGTCCTAATTGAACAAACAGGGTTCCCACACCTCCTTAAAAACCTTAAATATCCTTAAAAATAAAAACCTCCTTAAATGTCTTTAAATAACCTTTTAAAAAGTTAAAATTTGACTGCTTTCCTTAATTTCTCCTAATTTTTTTTTTATTCATCTAGAAAAAATTTTTAAAGTGAATGGATTATACTTGTTAATAAAGAAGCTAATATATAAATTTTTGATAGTTTTCAAACCTATTTTTGTTATTATATATATTAATATATATATATATATATATATATATATATATATATATATATATATATATATATATATATATATATATATATATATATATATATATATATATATATATATATATATATATATTTAAGTAATAATAATTTCTCTGTTTATATTTAAAATTTATTGAAAAAAATAAGATAATGTTTTTAATGTAATTGTTTTCTCCTTAATTATCCTAACTCCAAAAAATGTTGTTCGCAACCAAATCTCCTTAAATATTAGGAAAATATCTCCTTAAATCTCCTTAAAATCCTTAGTTTTAGCCTTAGTTTTAATAGTAGTAACCCTGAAGAAATGAACAACCAAGAAGTTTGACTTGATAACTCTGCAAATTTTAAATTTTTTCTTGTATCATTTTCTTTGTATCTTGTTTATATAAAATATTGAATTGTTATGGTTTTTTGTGAGATCGTCTAGTGTTTCTGCAATAATCTTTTGATTTGCAATGGACAATGTTTCTGTCGCATTTTTTAGAGGTGTAATGCCTATTGGTAATGAAATAGTAATGCTGTCAAGTTTTTCAGTTTTATAAACTAGATAATAAAAACTTTTTATTTTGTATTTTGCCTAGCACAGAAATTGCAAATCAATTTGATATCCTTTACACTTAAGACAATTGATAATTTAAAATCATGCTGCATAGAACATACAACATCAGACCATCTGTTTCTAACAGTTTCATCATAGCAATAAAAATATAATTTTTGTATTAAAAGTAAATTAGTGTTAAAAAAATAAAACAGGTATTGCCTGGAATACTATACATATTGGTTTCAAATGTTTAGGCATTTTTTTTTTTTTTTTTTTTTGAATGTTTTTTTTTGAACTTACTGTTGTTTTTTTCATCCGTAAAGTTAGTCATGTGACTTACGCTTTTATTATCTTTGGTTTAGTTATAAATAACTTGGACAACTGTTTTTTACGCGGACAACAGTGGTTGTTTTAAATTTGTCCTTTTTTTTAAATGGCCATAGAACCTTAAAATAGTTTTTTTGTTATGATTTTTTAAATAGCTTAGTACTAAAATATCATAAAAATATATAAAACTTGAAATTTTCAAAAATTGGACATCTGTAGTTTTACCTGTGTGGTCTTCATTTACATTATCAAGATAAAATAATTTTCTTATAGGACAAGAATTGTTCCTGTATATAATGAGTGTTACACAGTAGCTAGAAAGTACAACATGACAAATATATATACAGTATTGGACAAAACATTTGCAACCAACATCGAACAATGCTTAAAAGTGTTCCTAATTTTACATTTCTTGAAAACAAAACAAACTATGCTACCACAGCAAACAGTTCAGGAGTCTTGAGTCATAGCGTGCCATGACATAAGCAATCAGCTGACAGGTGACAGCACGCAGGCAGAATTTGCAGTGGACAAAACAAGTGCAACTTTTTTGGTTTGTTTCATTTTCTTAAGTCTGGTCCGTGTCAACGTCACAGAAGTTTATTAATAATTAAAGGAAGTATCCAGAAGTTTCCAGAAGCATGCAGAAGCTTCCAGAAGTTTTCAGAAGAAGCATCTGGAAGCATCCAGAAGTATCCAGAAACATTCAGAAGCATCCAGAAGCATCGAAAAGAAGCATCTATAATCTTCCAGAACAGTTTCATACAAGTTCATTTTACTATATAACAGACATGTAAACCAACATGTAATTCAGTTAGTATATGGAAGTCAATCAGTCAGTATTATCAAGACAGTTTATTGAAGTGAATTATATCAAAGTGTTTTATCGAAGAATATCAATACAAGAAGTGAAATACAACAAGTGTTTCATTACATCAATTCAGTCCACATCCAACCAAGACGTTGTGTTTCACAGAGCATTATTGTATCATTACAAGGTAAACGTAACACGTTAAGCCTTGAGAAGCGTGATTATTTATTTTTATTATTTTTATGACTTCAAGTGCAAAAATGGCTCCCGACAGTCTTGGATTGGAACTAAGAAAGAAAATTATTGGCGATTATGTTAGTGGAATGTCACAAAAAAGTATTTGTGATAAATATCGCGTGAAAAAATGGACCATTTTCATGTATAAAAATATCCTGAAAGATGTTATGTTACTTCATGCTGAATGAAATATGCCAATAAAATGGGTTTTTCAGCAAGACAACAATCCAAAGCACACTGCAAAAGTAGTCAAGCAGTGGTTTCAAGACAACCACCTATTGGTGATGGATTGGCTGCCTCAATCTCCGGATCTCAACCCTATCAAGAACCTGTGGAAGATCGTCAACCGCAGAATTAATCGTGAAGGTGTTCAGGTAATAAGGATCAACTGTTTCAACAAATCTAAAAGGCCTGGGCAGCAATTTTACAAAGTTTCATTGATTACCTGATCAAATCTATGCCTCGAAGATGCAAGGCTGTGATCGACAACAAAGGATTCGCCACGAAATATTGATAGCGAAATACAGCTTGGTCAACATTCTGTCGAGTTGCAGTTGTTTTGTCCTGAAGGAAATCAACTTTTTTTAATACTTTTGATTAATTTTTTAATTTTTGTGTACAAACAATGAGCTTTGTGATGAATAAAACTTGAAGAACGTTGTCTCTAAACAGTTGCATAGCTATTTCTCTAAATTGAAAAAATGCAGCACTTTTATATAAAGAAACTAAATTAGCATTATTTGGTTGCACTTGTTTTGCCCGATACTGTATATATATATATATATATATATATATATATATATATATATATATATATATATATATATATATATATATATATATATATATATATATATATATATAAAGTTTAGTTTCTATATATAATGAGTGTAACACAGTAGTAGGAAGTATATGACAAATAAACATTCTCATACAGTATATCTAGATTTATAACTAACTTATAGCTAATTTTAGTTTTTTATTAAAAATAAAAGTTTAATTGGTTTTTATACTTTGTGCTTTTAATGATCATATAACTGAAAATATACTAGAATAAAAAAAAAAAACTATTCTAAAATTTATGTGAAAAAAAAAACTAAAAAATTGCTTAAACCAGAAGCAGAAAAACACCAATAAACCATAATAATGCCAAAAGAAAACACACATAAAAAAAGTTTTTTGACCCAAAATAATGCAAAAGGAAAACTGTTTTTTAGAGATAGGTTTCTATTTTGAGAATCATTTTCTAATGAATATCCACAGTCCACAAAGAAATATCCACAAAGCTATCAGATCTTTTGGACCCATTTAATGTTCAACATTCTTGAAGCAAAAATATTTTTTATTCAAAAACTTTTAAATCATTTTAAATTTATTATATAGAAAACATTAAAGTAAGAGCTGCAGACATTTTTTAAGAATTTTGTTTTTTGAACCACCATTATTTTTGAACTAATTTTGAATATATGTATGTATATAAGGGTTTGCACTCAACACGTGAATCATGCGATTGTTTATATGTGTATGTAAAGCATGTAAAAGCTTGTTTTTTGTTTTTTTAAAACAATCATGTAGGAATGATAAAATCAACTTTTTATTTTTTCAGCTAATTTTTAAAAGTTTTTATTGCCTTTTAAAAGCTTTTGTTTTTAAGTTTTATGGTAAAAATTTAATTTTTTAAAATTATTATGTTGAAACTGCATGTGTAAAATAGATATTAACTAAAACTTGAAATTAAAAATTGAAAGTATTTTATAATATGTTTAAAAAATATTTTTTTAAACAGTTTCATAAATAATTCTTTTTTTATATAGAGTTATTATTATTATATTTGAAAGATAATATTATAAATATAATAATTGATGGGGGTTGAATAAGTGGCAAATCTAATCTTTCTCTATAGAATGTTAAATACATGATACAATTGAAGCTTTGACATCAATAAGCCATTTTATAATCAATTATATTTTTCAAAATTCTCTTTAAAAAAAACATCACTTAAAACAAACTAATCCCAAATTAATTTAACTAATCAAAAAGTTAGAGTTGATATATATATAAGGAACGTTTATCCCTATTCAGAAACAATCTATAGAGACTACATAATATTTTTACATGATGTTGTTAGGGGATGAGTTGTGGTTTTATTAGTGACAAGGCTAACACAAGTCGATTATTGATGAATGTGAATATAAGACATCACAGGTTTGTAGAAAAAATATGTTCTACATCTAGATATAGAACACATTTTTCTTACAAACCTGGAATGTCTTTTATTCTCAATAAATCTTCTTCAAACCAGCAGGTGTCATTCATTTAGGATTTGTGTTGAAAAGGGGAAACCCTTATTGTTTAAAACTGTTATACTCTAAACAAATCAGCACGGGTCATAACAGCAATTCAAAATTTATTAGTTCTCAATTTTAAAAATATTTAAATTGATAACATGATAACAGTTCATTCTTTAAAAGTTTTAGTAAAATAACTGTTTAGCATTGAAAGCTTTTTTCCCATGAGTAAGAAAGATAATTTACTAAAGTAAAATAGATATTGCTTATATTTAAATAAAATTTAACTTAATATACCTTCTTTTAAAAAAATGGCATATATTTTTTTTGGTAATTTACCTCCCCAAGACGGAGAAAGCCACTACAGATGAGGAGGCTACTTGTGGTTACAACTCTCTCTCAACTCTACAACTCCAAAAAACAAACGCAGAGAAACAAGTTAAGCGTGGTACTACAAGGGATGTGGTGGGAATCGAACTCAGATATATATTTATTTATTTATATATATAGAGAGACATAAAATAAACAATTTCCATGTTTTTTTTATTTAGACCATTGTTCAAGAAGAAGATGAGCAACTTCTAACAGGTAGGCTAGATAGTTCCATAGCTTTTTTCTAGTTTCATTGCTTTATAGTTCCATAGATTTTTGTTTGATTAAAGTTCATATTGTTGATCAATAAAGATCAAAGTCTCATTCCTTTTTTTTTTTTTTTCATTCCTTTTTTTTGTTTGTTTTTTCTTTATTTTTAATTATTTTACTATTTTCATATTGTATGTAATAAATAATTATTAAAATTCATTTTTAAAACATTATTTTTTTTAGTTTAAACTTAAGAAACAATTTATTTTCATTATTTAAATTCAAATCAGTGAATGCTTACCTCTTATTATATCAAAAACAAGCAAAAGATTTGTTTTGTTCTTTTTAAAAGTTTTTCTTTTCTTGTTTGTATTTTCTTAACCCTTTGAAATTAAAAGATAATTAGAAAAATTCAGTTAAAAAAAACAAAAATGGACAAAAAATAATAGTTCCTTAGCTTTTTTCCTAGTTTCATTGCTTTATTGTTCCATAGATTTTTGTTTGATTTAAGTTCATATTTTTCATCAATTAAGATCAAAGTCAAAGATCAAAGAAGTTATTTATATATTTTTTTAATTTTACTGGTTTAAGATAAGAACAAAGGGTATACATTAAAATATTAATTTTGTTTTATAAATTTATAAATAATAACTTAACATTTTTTTAAATTGTTTTTTCTTTATTTTTAATTATTTTACTATTTTCATATTGTCTGTACTGAAGTGCATAAACCTATTTCTGCACTTTACCCATTCCATATTTTAAAATTGTTTTAGAACTTTTGAACTTATTTGAATGGTTATTAGAGTTTAATAATAGTTTATTAAATGACTCTGTTATTACTACTGATAATAATACTAGTATATTCCTAGTCTTATCGGTAATTAAATTAAATTGTTAAATTGGCCAATTACTGTTATTAGTAAATAAACATCTCGAAATATTTTCAATATCCGCGATGCTAAAATCAATTTTTTACTCCAATACTTTTTGTTTGTTTTTAGAACCAATAATCAAACCTGCCTCAAGAAGGAAGTTTGCATTAGTTGAACAAGAACTTCCTGCAACAACATATGACATGGAATTTTTGGCAGATCAAATGGATAATTCAGATCTAATACGAAATGTTGCTTTGATCGGAAACTTGCATTCAGGAAAGAGTAATTTTGTTGATGCCTTGTTTGAACAAACTCATCCTGAATTAAACAAAAAAGTGAATGATGGTGGTGCAGATATGAATTATACTGACACACTCTTTACAGAAAGAGAACGAGGCGTTAGTATTAAAAGTACTCCTGTAACTTTAGTTTTACCTGATTCTAAAGGAAAATCATTTCTCCTAAATATATTTGACACTCCTGGTAAGTATACTGTTGGTGATTTAAAAAAAAGTTATTTTGATTTGTCAACTTTCTTAACATAAAAAATACTTTTGTTAGGTTAGAGTTAGCTTCTGAAAAAATATTTTTATGAATTTTGAATTATGTTAATGTTTTAAATGTTAATTTACCCTATTCAAATGTTCATTTAATTTCATAAAAAATATTTTAAACAAAAAATAAAAGCTTTGTTTTATAGGCTTGTGCAGTAACATTTTTAAATTGTTTTTTAAAAAATATATGTAAATTTAAATAGTTTTTATAAAACAAAAAAGGTTTGCATTTTTTATTACATATAAATTGTTTTACATTCACTGTCATTTTGGGAATTGTCATTACAGAAATCCTGATAGTATTTATTGTAGAATTTTTTTTTTTTTTTTTGTTGTCTGAAAACAACATTTACTTTTCGACAGAAACATAGATACTTAAGAAGCAAAGCTAGAAAATATTCAAAAACATTTTGTGGAATATAAAAAATAAATTTTCAGCTAATGTTTTTAAGAACACCATAATAATACAGTCAACACCTACAGATAATTATGCTATACATTATATATATATATATATATATATATATATATATATTATATATATATATATATATATATATATATATATATATATATATATATATATATATATGCAACCCTCTGAATTAGGAAAAATTAGGTTGGCAATAATTTGTTGACCTCAATCTTTTAGAGATCAGCAAAAAAAATTTGATACAAGGGTCTTACCATAAAACATAGAAACAAGGGTGTGGATTCACAAAACTTTCGTAAGCGTAAATTTGGCATAAGTTTGTCATAAGTTCTAAACTTAATAACTTTCGTATTCACAAAACTTGGGCAGTTGCTAAGCATAAAACTTGCGATATTTATTTTGTAAGTTTGATTCTTAAATTATGGTATTCACAAAACATCTTAAGAAAATACTCAGCTAGATTTAAGCAAGAAAAGTTAGGTTAGGTAGGAGCTATCTTAACTTTGGCGTAACTTTAAAATATAACTTTCTCATATATTGATTTAATTTTTTTTAATTTGTAAAAAAAAATTTTAAAATTTGTAATAAATAAGTGATAGTTTATATGATAAACATAGTTTATATAATTGTATATGTCCTTATAGTGTATATGTTCCTATGAAATATAGTATAAATTATAGTATAATTTATACTATAACTTAAAAGGAAATACAAAAAATTAAAAGAATATAGTGTATATTCATCACAAATTTTAAAAAATCTTTTCACAAATTTTAACAAAAAAAAATTGATCTATAAATTTTAGGTTAAACTACTTTTTGTTATAGTTTTTAAACAAACAAAAAACATAGAGCTATAGTTTTATAGTTTTATTTAACTATAGTTTAATAAAAAGTATTATAACTTCCATTTGCATTTATAACTACTTCCATTTGCATTTATAACTACTTCCATTTGCATTTATAACTACTTCCATTTGCAGTTATAACAGCATACTCTGTTAAACTCTTATCAACTAATTTGTCTATAATATTATTTTGCAGAAGTAACTACATACTGTGATAAAATGTTATATACTATTTAGTCTACATATTTTGACAACTCGTTAGTAATACTAACTATTTGTTATGCGACAATTTTTTAGTAATACTGACAGTTTTTTGCTTGTTAAACTTTTCAAGCATTTCGACTAAGCAATTCCATCTAGTTCTAGTATCCATAATAACTTTCAATTGTTTTCCAAATTCTTGTTTCACGTATACTTGAAGAATATCATTTGATGTTCTCGAAAAACCAAATTTCTTTACAATCGAATGAACCTTTTTGATGAGATAACAAAATCCTAACTCTTAAAGTCTCAACAAGCTCAGCTTCATTATAAGTTTGTTCAATCAAGCCAACATTTTCATCTTCAATGTATCGTCTGATTATCAAATTATTTATCCGATAAGTCACTTGATCTTCTACACTAACATTTTCTGTATATGTGTGAGCCACCAATTCAGTTGTATTCATATTATTATACAGAACATCAATTACCACTAAATGTATCGCATGTGCGAAGCACAACTGCTGATTACTTAGTAAAAGACGTCCAATTTTTTGCATCGCAGCTGCCCCATTAGTTGTTATAGACATAATATCTTTATCGATATTTAGATTGTTATCTTACGATTTAGTTTTCAGAGCCCTAATGTATTTCTCTGCAGGGAAATGTCCTTTAACAGGTACTAAACCTAAGTTCTGAAACTGCTTCTTGCCATGGACATTCACATTTAAATAACATCGGTTTCTTGCAGATGTTTATCTATCTAGAGTTAATCAAAATCTTGTTTCATCTTTTTTTAAATTTATAAAATCCTGCATCATTTTAGCTCGCATTTTTTGTGCATATTCTAAAACCATTTTGCTATTTGAGTTAGGTGATTTTGGTAATACATAATCTTGAGCGCCTCTAGCCAAAAATAAGTTTCTCAAATTGATAGACTTACAAAAAACTTTGAATGGCATATTATCTAAGGCACATATTAGTGATACAATTGCAGAAAGTGATTCATGGCTCGAATTAAGTGATCGTGAATTGCAATATCCAGAAATATCTGTGGTCATTAAATTTTTAGTTTTTTTAAAAACCGTAAACACTGTTTTAATGAAACGGTCAGTTTATCATATTGCAAAAATTAATGAAAAAGAAAAACAATAAATTTACTACTGCAAAAATAATAACAGTCAAAATTTACATATTATTAGTTATTGTTTTTTTAACAATAATTAATAATATCTAATTTAAATGGTTGTAAATAAAAAAAAGTGGTTGTAAATAAAAAAAAGCAAGCAAATAAAAAAATGGTTGTAAATAAAAAAAAGCAAGACAAAAATTATTATTACTAAAGGTCCGAAAAACTTTCGCGGTAATTTAAAGTTCAACCAAAAAAAAACTATGATTAAGCTATTTGCGCATTGTATAAAACTTTGTATAAAAAAACAACCAATTAAAAAGTATGCTAAAGCTACTTGCTCATTATATAAAACATTAAATAGATTTTTATTTAGGGGTAAAGTTTATGGAATTATTAAAAAATTTAAATGTTTTAAATTAGAATTTAATTATTTAATAAGAAAAAAAATTATAAAGTATATTTTTTTTAAATATGTTATTAGAGTTTCTTTTTTGTTTTGTTTTAAAGTGACTATTAAAAAGTTTAAATTAGTTTTTTCTCTTCCGTCTTTTAATTTTATATTCGTATCAGCTAAAGTGTTACAAGCGTTAAATTTATAAAAAAAATTATTGAATGAGATTTATATAAGATATAAAAGTATTTTATATAACAATTTCTTTTATTTAAAATATTCGATCTCTGTTAAAATCTATAAGATTGTTGTGATTAGCGCTTTTTTAATATTTATATCGTACTTTATCGTGCTTTATTTTTCTAGTTTTATCTGATGTTTTATAAAATAAATTAAAATATTAAAGTTTAAATTTTAATCTTTAATAATAATAAAAGTAATAGTGATAATATGGTTTTACATTAAGATTTTATATCATAATCGGCGTAAATATTTTTTATTAAATAATATCTATTGAGTATAATAATCAAAACAGTTTTCCGGTTTTTAAAAAGCTAAAATTTTAAAGACCGGAAGCATTTCCAGATATCGCAATTCGCGATCACTTAATTTGAGCCCTGTGATTCATCTTTTTTGTTGAATAAATAGTTTGTAGTTATTATTTTTGATGCGCTGCTTTCTGGACCTTCATCTTGCACGACATCCTGTTTTAATACATTAATATTGTGCATTGTTCTTAAATGCGTGTTCTGCGGTGCTGTCCTTAAACCAGTGGTTTTTACTATTTCATAACATATATTACATATTTTGCTGTTTTTTGATCCTCTTAAAAAATAAATCAAAACAGAATTTTGATTTTTACATTGCTTTGTGTATTCCGAATAACTTTCCTTTGAAGACATTTTAGAATGTACTGTTGACAACACTTTAGAATGTACTGTTAACTTGTTAACAAAACAACATTAAAATAAAATAGTTATCAAATAATGTTGTTAAATTAAAACTGCTATTATTCCTGATATTATTTGCTTACCTATTTAAAACTGTTGAAAATTGTAAATTCAACACTGTTAAAAATCGTAAAATAAGACACGAACACGAGGTTATACCAAATATAAAAATTATTACATGTAGATATGAAATGAAGACATAAAACCATTAACTGCAATAACATAATAGCACAATAACGCAATAAGCAAATCTCAACAAATTGTTACATGTGGATATGAAATGAAGACATGAAACCGTTAATTGCAATTTAGGAATGTTTTCTCTAAGTCTATTTTTATTATGCAGGATAACTGTAATTTACAATTGTTTTCTTTATTTCTTCTTATAGAATTAGAATGTAGAATATTTATATGTACAGAAACAAAAACACAATTTAAAAGTTGGAGAAAGCACGAAAAAATTAATTTTAATTTCTGGATTCCCTGGAATAATTTTTGGAATTCGAAACTATATTATGAAACTGAATTCGTGAATTCTCAAATTTCGAGATGCAATCTTTATCTCTCTCTCTCTCTCTCTCTCTCTCTATATATATATATATATATATATATATATATATATATATATATATATATATATATATATATATATATATATATATATATACAGGGCGCAACAAATTGTTTTTTTTTTTCACGGATGTTGACGTTTGTATCTTAAATTATTGACGAACTTCTAATTTAAGTGATATTTGTCAAATAGTGTTTAAGAATATAAGTTTTATATTCAAATAAATTTTTATTCTAGTTAATAAGCTTTTGGATATATGAAAGATAGTTATTAAATTTAATCAATTGTTGTATTTTCAAAACAATTTTTCATTTATTTGCAAAGTGCGCGCAAATTATTGATTTTTAATATGCAATGATTGTATACTGTTATTCAACGATGCAAAAGTTTTTTTTTAATTTAGTTTGTTAAATTTATTTACTCATAAAATATACGTATAAACTTAAAGAAATTAAAATAAAAGGAACTAAAGAAATAAATCAAAAAATGACGTCTCATTTATAAATATATATTAATTTTTATATTTATATAAATGGATTTAAAAATCGCTAGAACTTTTTAATTTATGGCCTTCCAAATGTCTAATACCAACCGCTGCGTCAATCCAATTTTTGACATGTTTTTAAGGCAAAAAGTCTTCAATTAACTGTGTATTATACGCATAATATCTTCTAAGGTATCGTCATTTAATGAAGTTTGCAAAAATTTTTTTTGTAAGTTCATACAAGAAAAACTGCGTTTGCAACTTGCCGTTGAAGCGCTGAAAGTTAGCATAATCTCTAACAAGACATTTATACTTGCCAATTCAGGTTCATTTTCCAGCAAGATATCTTTATAAATGCTTAAAAGTGAATTTATCTTTAGTTTAGAGACTTTCTCCCTGAATAAAGGCCACTGCAATACACATAAATAAGAAGTTTCTCTGCTTATCATAATATTGTTCTCATAAAAGTTGCAAACACTTTTTATTTCATTAAACCCCCATTTTATCAACATTGCTAATATTTGGATACTTTTGGCAAACCCAGCAAGAGAAACACTCATTTGATTTGTCAATATGAATCCAGCTTAGTTGTTGCCCGTGTTTTTTATTGCTTGGCGGCAATCCATTTACGGTGTTCCAAAACATAAATTCAATATCTTTATTTAAAATAATAGTATATTAAGTATTTAATAATAAGTTAATAAAAATATCATATTATTGGTGTTGTTAAACACACAAAAAAAAAATTAAAATTTTAAAAAACATAATAACTTTATATATTCTATTAGATTATGTATTTTTTAGCAAAACTTGAACATTATTTTTAAAACTTTTATAAGTTTTAAAATGCTAACTAACATTACTTCACTTTAAAGAAAATAAGAAAAAAAAGAAAAAACATGCTATTAAAAAAAGCAATCGTTGTTTAAGCATGATTTTTTTTAACGTAATTGCAAATGGAGTCCTTTTAAATAAAATTTTGAGTGCTTTTTTAAACGCATGCAAAAACCATGCTCAAACTGATTACTTTCTTCGTTCCATTGAAGAAAGTAGCTTTAGTGTGGTTTCTTTTAAAGTCTTTGAAAATGGGTCAAAAATTTTCGTAATTAATTGTTTTTTGTGTTTTTTATAATAAATAAAAAATGCTATAGTAACGCGTTCATTTTGAAGAAATTTAGGCGAACGCCAACGTTTGCGTTAGGAAAAGTAAAGGAACGTGACGTTCATTTTTCTGTCTTTTTTTGTGCAGACATTCGCACGTTCGTCGATTTTTCGCGCCCTGATATATATATATATATATATGTGTAAAGATTAAATATATAAAGTATATAAATTGTGGAACTATAGACTTTAAAAAAACAAAGGGTAAATACATACAAAGTATATATTATATAAATATACTTAGTTTATTATTGTATTATTATTTTATTATTTAACATCTTATAATTATTTTTACACGAAAGTATGAGTATGATTATAGCTTAAAATTTTTATTTATTTCAAGGTCATGTTAATTTTTCTGATGAGGTTACTGCTGCATTAAGGATATCAGATGGTGTTGTTGTTTTTATTGACGCTGCTGATGGTGTAATAATTTTATTGCCATTTTTTATTTTGTTTTTTTTTTTTTTTATTTTTTTTTTCTAAAATTTACTTAGAAACCAAATATTTTCAAGCTCAACATTATTCTTAGGTAATGATGAATGTAGAGCGGCTTCTTAAGCATGCAGTTCAAGAAAAATTAGCAATCACCATTTGTATAAACAAGGTAAAATCATTTTTGTTTTTAAAAATTAGGAATAATTTAAAATATTATACCTAGGTGTTTTTTTATTTTTCAACATGTATTTTATAGGACTTAAGATTATTTTATTTTTTTTAATTAAATATTTTATTAAATAATAGATTGACAGGCTTATACTTGAACTCAAGTTGCCCCCTACCGATGCATATTATAAATTAAAGCATATAATCGATGAAGTAAACTCACTCTTAAGGTAAATATTTTTAATAAACATTTTTATATTTTTCTGCTGTGGGTCATAATTTCCTTTATTCAGTTTCTATATTTTTTGTCATAGTAATTTGCTTTAGTAAGTTGGTTATTTTCAAATTTTAAATTTTTTTTATATTTGTTTTGAGAAAGGTTTCAGGTTTTTTTTACTGAAAAATAAAAAACAAATTGAAAAATAAAATTTTCTTCAAAATTTTCTGTTTTTTTTTTTAGCACAAAAAAATAATAAAACAATTTAAACTGAATATTTAATTCAGAGAAAGCTATCTATTATTTGTTATATTTCATTATAAAATTATGTTTATATATTTCATTATAAAAGCAAAGAATATTGAAAGAAAAGATTGCTGCCCTAGCCCAAACCCTTAGTCTATATAGTGACACTACTTTGCAGAAACAGGTTATAAAATAGTTGATGTATGTACTGAAGTATAAGCACTTATGTTCAAGGAAAAAAACTACATAAATAAGAAGTTTTGGAACTTAGGAACAGCCACAGTAAATGTATAAGTCTTAATTGAATGACGAGTAACAGAAAAATTAATTTTAGTAGATGTGACAAAAAATGCTAGCTCTTTAGAGCAGCGCCCATTTAGTATTTATAGAGAAAGGAGAGGCAACATTAAGAAAAAAAAAAGAGCAGCAAAATTATGACAATGTGACAGTGGTTGAAGGTTGAGAAAGAGAAAGGCCATCTTTCGAAGATCCACTTCAAATAGGACAACAGTATTTCATACAAGGATCGATTATAGAGATAAAGAATAGATTTCTGATTAAGAAAGTGACTAGCACAATAAAGAGATATAACTTTAGCAGTTGCTAATTTTGCAATGGATTTGATATATTGTTTTCAAAAAAGATTGGAAGTAAGAGTTAGTCCTAGAAGACAAAGGGTAGATGACTCATCAATTGCATTACTGACCACAAATATAAGAAGATCTAGATTGTTGCAATAACAATTAGCTAAAAAACAAATTTGTTTTATCTGAGTTAAAGTTCAGTAACCACTGAGAGCCCCATGTTGTAGCAGAAGTGAGATCCTTTTCAAGCTCAAATGCCCCCTTCAATCAATCAGAGAGTGTTGGTTTCTCATCAAGACAAGATTAAATTGTAGTATCATTAGCGAACAATGCCACCTAAGTGAGAATTTCTGGAAGATCGTAAATGTAAGTTAAAAAGAGTTTAGGGCTAAGGTTAAAATTTTAAGGAACCCTTGAAGTCACAGGAAATGAAGAAGAATGCTGTCCATCAAGGACAATTTTTATGCTACCTTTTGTAAGGAAGGATTCAATAATCTTAAAGATCTTACCTGATACACCGTAAGAAGAAAGCATTGAAAAGCATTGAGCATGGAGAAGACCAGCATGCCAAACTTTATCAAACCCTTCAGAAATATCAAGAGCAATAGCCTTAGCCTCTCCACACCTATCACATAATAAAACCTGTTAGTTATTACAGTTAACAAATCAGCAGTCGAATGAGAAAATTGAAATCTATATTGATGATCAGAAAGTAAGTTATTAGATTTTAGATAAATAATTAAGTGTTTGTTAATTAAAGTCTTAAAAACCTTGTTTATGAAAGGAAGAAGTCTAATTGGGGGGTAGCTAGACGAGTCAGGTTGAAAACAAGACTTTGATAAAGGGGTCCCCAAGTGTTGAGACAAGAAGTGTTCTTATCATAGATAAACGTTAAAAAATAAGTTATTTTAACTTTCCAAAACAAGTTATTGAATTAGATATTAACAAAACAATTAATTTTCAATACCGTTTTATTTCTCGTGAAGGCAAGTTCCAGCTCTTTGACTATTTTTATTTTTTAAATCAGGTCTGATCAATGAGCTTATATTAGACGTCAATAAAAAAAGTTTCTTTCAAAAAACTTAAATCAAGTTTAAATTGAAGAAGTTTCCCCATTGGCGGTTAAACAAAAATATAAGATTCAAGTTTTTAATATCAATTTTATATATTTCTGAAAATATATATTATATCATTTTAAAAACAGTTTCTTGAATTAGAAATATTATTATAAACATAAGTTGAAAATATATATCAGATCATTTTTAAAACGGTTTCTTCAATTTATTAAAAAAACAAAGATTTTAAATTTTTCAAAATTTAACCATGTTGGATTATATTGTATTTAGTGTTGAATATTAAAAAAATTAGTTACTTATTTTATAAGAAAAATATTCATGTATTTGTGTATTTAGTGTATTTAAAAGTTTGCTTCGCTTAATTATTATTTTTATTATGCTAGTTAATTTAACTCAAACACTTAACGATACATTGAACAAAAAACAAAAACAGCAAACATTTTTTATAACCACATCAGACTAAATATGAAGGGGAAAACCCAATCTGATTGGATAATTCTAAACTGAGTTTAAAAAATTCTGCGGTGAGCAAAAACATTTATTATTGAAACCAGATAACTTATTTTCTAATGTTTATCTGTGATATGAACACAACTTGTCCTGGCATTTGGGGATCGCTATAAGCACTTGTTAAATAGTTTTGAAAGTATAGACAATAGCTCTAGAGAACACTTCTGCAAGACTATAGCAGGTATGTTATCTGGACTACAAGCTGTATTAGAGTCTAAGCAGGAAATCGCTTTAGATACAGAAGCTGAAGTGATACGAATATCAAGCAATGGATCAGCTTTTTGTTGGCTATATCAGGTAGGATGTGATATGAGGAATCAAGAGATAAGAACATGATTTATCAGGTATATCAGGTAGGATGTGATAAGAAGAGATAAGAACATGATTTAGTATATACTACTTTAAATGCTTTTTAAATATTTCTTTTAAATATGAATCTTTCTTTTTACTGTAACTATCTTAAACTTTCTTTTGTAGGTAAAAAACTGTCTGGTTGTCCTGGCGGGCTACTGACATGCATTTTTTTTAAATATCAGTTGCCCATTGAGAAAATGAGTCATCCTGTACCACTGGACAACCATGACAGTAACATTGATAAGTCCCAGCTTAATTATAATTAAGAATTATTTTAGAGGAATCTAAACTAATTGCCAACTTTTCTGCATTATTGTCATCTCAAATTTTGAAATATTTTGCGTAAAGGATTGGAAATGTTTATGTTTAAAATAATCATTTACTTTATTCAAACTCTTTCATCTATTTTTAATTTTTTTTTTTTAATATCTTTTATTTTTAAATTTTTATTTCTTTTTTGAATGTCTTCTTATTTCTGATATTGAAAACTTATTCAGATCTTCATTTATATTACTTGTAACGTAGATTTTAATTGATATAAATGAAGATATAGCCTGTAGATTAAACATTTAGAAAATTTTATTTTTTAAAGAATTCAAAACACCAATTGTAAACAATACAAAAGTCAAAAAAGCTAATTATAAGCACAATTTAAATGCTTTTATAACCTGTGGTTATAACCTTCTCTCATCTTTTAACCCCAGAGTTCTTTTTAAAGAACAAATGATCTTACATTATCTTATTTTATATATTTATTACTCTTACATTATCTTATTTTATATCTATATTACTGACAAAAGAATTTTTTTTTTTTTTTTTTTAGTGTGTATACTGAAGGAGAAGATGATATCATTATGTCACCACTGCTTGGAAATGTCTGCTTTGCAAGTGCTCATTACCGTTTTTGTTTTACACTTGCATCTTTTTCAAAATTATACTGTGATACTTTTGGTAACGTTTTTGCCATTTATTAGTTATTCTTGTAAATATTTGTTTTCATATTATAAAATTGTTAATTATTTTAGAAATTCAAACTTATTAGTTTCTCTTCAAAAAAGTAACTCTTGATAAAAAAAAATTTGCTCTCAATAAAATAAGCTTTCAATATTTTTTTATTTATAAAATTGATAAATAATGTAAAAAGTTTTTTAGAGTTTCTTAGCTTTACTTTAGAGATAAGAATATGTAACGCAGTTTCACATGAATTTTTGCATCTGAAATCGTGCTGGTCATCATTAAATAAATTATTTTGTTCAAAGTATGCAGTTACCCTTTTACTCTTTTATTCGTTCAAACACTTTTGTTAGTTGAAAAACTATAGTAATACTTCAATAACTATTGATATCGTGAATTTCATCTTTTTGTTTATAAAGTGGCATAATACTACCCATTTTCAATTTATTTGGATTACTGCCTAATTCCAGACTTGAATATAATCATTAATGGATCAGTGATTGGATCATATGATTTTTTAATAATTTTCATTGGAATATCTGAATAACCACACCTGTTTTTTGTTTTTTTTTTTAGTTTTTGATTGCATCTACAATTTCATATTTGTTAATAGGAAAAAATGAGAAATTAAATTTTTTCAAATCTTATTACCATTATTAATCTTAATAACTCTTTACATATTTATCGGTACTATTATATACAACAAGTTTTTTCTTTAATAAATATGTATACATATTTATAATATGTTTACATTAAATGTATAATACAAACAATTTAAAATTAATAAGTAATATAATAATTAAAATATGTATAATAGAAAATTAATAATTAAGTTAATTTGAAAAGTTTATTGCAAATACATACATACAAACATACATACATACATTCATTCATACATACATACATTCATACATACATACATACATACATACATACATACATACATACATACATACATACATACATACATACATACATACATACATGCATACATACATACATACATTACATACATTACATACATTACATATATTGAAGGACAAGAGTTTTCAATCACTTTGTTATTTGTAAAAATATATATATTTAAAAAAACAAATTAACTAATTACATTTAACCAAATATCATTACAAATAATTACAAATTACTCAATGTCTTTAAACCTGTGATTAAAATAAATAAGTTTATGCAATATAACACAAACAAAAGTTGTTTTTTTTTTCATCGCAAAATCCACCTTTTGCTTTCCTTACTGCCAAAACAAATTTTACCATACATTTGATTAAATTATCCAAATAAATTATAGAAATATTATTCCAAACTTGTTGCAAAATTGACCTCAAATGAGTTTTTGAAGTTGGACACTCTTTTCTTACCTCACGATCCAGTCGTTCCCATAGTAACTCCATTTGGTTGAGATCTTCGTTAGGCCATGTCATAATTCCTCCGTTCTTATTGCGAATTCCATTTATTTTCACAAGATTATCAACCTGATTAAAAGTAAAACAGCCCCACACCAATACTGAATTTCCATTATGTTTGACAGTTTGACACTGTGGATAAAAGTTTTCAGTAGCTGTTTGTTGCACATAGATCCATCGCTTTGTTCCAAAAACAAGGAATTAGAATTCGTTCGTCTGCAATACATTTCACCAATCTATTTTGCCCAGTTTGAATGTGCTACAGCCCATTGAAACCTATTTTTCCAATTTATTGCTTTTGGAAGAGGTTTTTAAACAGCTACTCTACCATTTAGGTTAACAGTTTTCAAGCGCTGTCTCACAGCTCTTTCTGAAGTTTTATTATGAGCAGCATTGAAGTTAGAGGTTGTTTCTTGGGCTAATTAATTGTGTATTTTGTTTACATGAGAGTATAAATTTGTCTCCAGCCTTTGATATTTTGCAGGGATGTCCAGTTCTTTTCCTTTCTTTATTGGTACCAGTAATTTTAAATCGACAAATAGTATTACTCATTGTTGATTGCAGTATTTTCGACAATTTTTGAATATGTCTTGTAGAATGACCATCATTTGTCAGAGTAACAATTGAAGAATGTGTTTCAACTGATAAATTACATTTCTTTGATATTTTATATTATTTTGTAAAATTTTAGTTTAAAAATAATCAAAATGCACTTTTATAAACTGGAAATTAAAAAATAATATCAAATTTAATTCAGCTGTATAAAATATATACTAAATTAATTTATTAATCCAATATATTATATTAACTGCAACAAAATTATGCTTTGATGACAAAAGAGTAGTTGAATTTTATTTACAAAATTTTAACTATTATGTTCAAGCATGTTTATAATAAGAAAACGAAGAAGACATAGGTTTTGCATTTCAATTTTAAAAACACATTAGCTCACCTTAATTGAATTATTTTATGGCTTATAAAAAGTTTAAAATTTAGTATCAATTATTAAAAGTTTATTTAACACACTAGCACATCTGGATCAAACTATTTTATGACTTGTAAAGAATTTTTAAATTTAATATCAATTATTGTAGGTAAAAAAACTATTAAAACTTTAATTGACTAGAAACTTTTGCTGGACAGTGTACATTGTACATTGTACATTACAGTGTACATTACATATATATATATATATATATATATATATATATATATATATATATATATATATATATATATATATATATATATATATATATATATAAGTTTGTTGTATATATTTTCTGTACAAAGTTTAAATAATATTAGTTTGCTGTATTTTTTTATTTTTAAATTTCAAGGTGGCGGTGTAAACTATATTGAGTTTGCAAAGCGGCTTTGGGGTGATGTTTACTTCAATGAAAAAACAAGAAAGTTTACAAAAAAGGCACCTTTAACAACTGCCCCGCGATCATTTGTGGAATTTATATTAGAACCAATGTACAAGCTTTTTGCTCAAGTTGTTGGGGATGTTGATTCAACTTTGCCACAAGTTCTTGACGAATTAGGTAGGCTATAGTCTTGACAAATTTGGTAATGTTTGAAATATTGTTTATTTTATGACTTATTTACATAGTTTATAGTTAAAAATCTTTATTATATTATAATTATATTATAATTTTAATTGAAATAATTTTTAGGGATTTATCTAACGAAGTCAGAGTTAAACATGAACATTCATCCTCTTTTACGATTAGTTTGTAAAAAGTTTTTTGGAGAGTTTACAGGTTAGCATTTTTTTTAACTAAAATGCATGTATGTCTAATTTATAACTCAAAATAATTTATAATGAATTAATAATGAAAATTGGTTATATTAATTTAAGAAAAACTGTTTAGGATTTGTTGACATGTGCGTTAAACACATACCTTCACCTCTTGTATCTGCTTTTAATAAGGTAAGCATTTTTATAAAAAAGTTAGTTAAATTTTTTATTTTCTTTACCTAATTAACTTTATTTATACCTGATATGAATTATTTTTAACATATTAAGAAGTTAAAAGAGATGTAACGATATGGTTAAATTTAAAAAGTAATGGTGGCATTAGGCTACACTATAATACAAAATTTTATAAAAATTTTTATAGTTTAGATAGTTGATTTAATAAATTTATTGTTAAATTAATGTAAATAATTCAAGTTGTATCACAAGTGTAATTTAAAACAAATCACAAGAATAACATATTCCAATTTATCTTTTTTGTACAGAACAAATAAAGGCATTAATTAAATTCAGTTAAAACAATAACTAAAAAAAATTTTCATTTACTTACCATGTTAATATGTTTTGTATACTGAGTTACAATTTAAAATATATAGTTCTAAACATTTAATTCAAATAGTTATCTTGTTATTTTTTTAAGTATTGTATTTATAGAGAATGCATGTTTGGATAAACAGTATTAAATAAACAATTAATTAGCAAATAACATTGTTTTAATTAAGTATTTTTGTTTTATGTTATGAGGATAATTTATCAATAAGCATTCTATTGTTGAGATGTATGTTAGGGTGGTCCATAAAACAACTTTTTTGAGAAAAACCTGCTGACACCCCCTAAATGTGTTTTATCTAATGCAAAAACACTAGGTTTAAAATTTTTTTGAACAAAAATTATTTTTAGGGGTAGCTCAAGGCCCTCAAAAATTTGACGGGTCCCTAATATTTTGAAAAAAAAACTTTTTCTAAAGTATGTCAACCTGGTACTCAAAAGAAGCGATATTGTATAAAAACTTCAAAAATAATAATCATTTTACATAAAAAACATGCCTAAAAAAAATTATTCTCAAAAAACCTGAAAATATTGACTTTTTTTATTTTCAGCTTAAAAACAATAGTTTTTATGCATTTATACCTAAAAAAATTATTTTTATAAAAAATTATTATCATTTTTAAATTTTTTATATAATTTTGCTTATTTTGAGTACCAGGTTGACATACTTTAGAAAAAGTTTTTTTTTCAAAATATTAGGGACCCGTCAAATTTTTGAGGGCCTTGAGCTACCCCTAAAAATAATTTTTGTTCAAAAAAATTTTAAACCTAGTGTTTTTGCATTAGATAAAACACATTTAGGGGGTGTCAGCAGGTTTTTCTCAAAAAAGTTGTTTTATGGACCACCCTAATGTATGTATGTTTGTATGTTTATGTATGTATGTATATATGTATGTATGGGTGTATGTGATCACGTATGTATATATGTATGTATGCATTTATGTAATGTGTTTGTGTTACAAAAAAAACCAAAGTGCTTGATATCGGAGTCTCAACCCTTTGTTCCTTTCCTTTTAACTAAAAAACAAGTTATTCAAAATTTTATCAAGATATTTTTGTATTTAGGCTTTGCTCAATGAATATGATATTATCAGATTTAAAGGTCAAAGAAAATAAAAATGAATTTTAGTTTTTTTTAATTAAAGTTTTATTATTTTATTCAAATTTAGTGTTATATATACAATTTTAATCAATGTTATTCAGATTGGTCTTTTGTTTTCACTTGTTGATTTTCCCTTGTTTTCATTAATGCATTTACAGTTGAGGATCTTTTGCATAACTATAATTTTGGCGTTGATGTTCTTCCACAGTTTTTAAGATTGCAATTGAGTTTTATTGCAATCTTTTACAAGAATTTTGTGTGAAAAAAGTTTCACCCCTCCTTTGGCTGTGTCATTCACAACTTTCGTAGGATTAATGATTTTATGTGCTAGCTGGTATTCGGTTACTATACTCCATATGTCTAAGCAATGTTCCTTTACAAATGTCTAATTTATTCCAAGCACTTCAAATACATATTATTATCTCTTTTTTACAAAGTCATCTTAGTTGATGCTTGCACTTTTACCCATTAATCCTTTACCTTCAAACCTTTTACCTGGGTTTTTTTGGCTAACTTTTCAAGTGCAATCAATATTTTTTCTTTAGTTTGGTTATAATTATCGTTGCTGAAAAAATATAGACTCACAAGGTCTTTGTTTTTGTTTTTTTCAACATCTTCACTTCCAATAAGACTACAAGCAACCATTATTAGAGTTGGAAATGGAAGAGAAGGATGAAGTTTATAAAGTAAGATAAGTGGAAGAGAAAAGATGAAGTTTATAAAGGAAGAGAAAAGATGAAGTTTATAAAGTAAGATAAGTTTATAAAACAATTAACAGACGACTTTAAAGATTGCAAATTATATGAATTATATGAACACAAGACATAGAAGAATCTAAGCAGGAAATCACTTTAGATGCAGAAGCTGGAGTGACACAAATGTCAAGTAATAGATCAACCTGTTTCTCGACTACATCAGGTGTAATGTGATTAGTAGAATCAAGAGACAAGATTAATGAAAAGTTTTTAGCAAACAATTCAGCTTTGTCTTTAGGCGAGGTAACAAAATCTGAACCGTGCCAGAGAGGTGGAATAATAGGTTTGCCTTTATTATAGACACTGTTAATAATTTTCCAGAATTCTCTGGAGCCTAATTTTTTAAATGAAATACAAGATTTTGTGACCTGAGAATATCGGGCTTGAACATAACCATTTTACAATGGTTTTTAACAATAGTAAACAGACGTCTGTTTAGTAAACAGACGACTTTAAATTGTCAAGTGGGAATAAAAGATTCCATGCCAGCCTGAATCCAAGAAGTTACTTAAGAAGCACATTTGTCTGCAAGAATATGAAAGATTTTAAGGGCCATCACAAAGAAAGTCACAGAAAGAGTCCCAGTCAGCTTTAAGGTAGTTGTAAAAGGTATGGTGATAGGGAGATTCTAATAATGAAGAATGAGATAATAGTTTTAGAGAGATAAAACCGAGATAACCAAGAAGCCTAAGGTTGAATGTAGAGAAACTGAGGATTAGAAACAAATTGAGTAGAGAATGTAAATGTTTCAGACACACTCTCAGCAAACTTTACATAGTTCCATGTAGTTATTGCAGATTTTATGTGGAATGTATTTATAACATTAACCACAAAAGTTATCTTTGTTTGACCTATTGCAAATAAATACGTTTATGACAATTTTATGTGTTTCTAAAACAATTAAATCTAAATTTTTTTAAATTTTTTCAAAATTCGTATATATAAAGACAAAATTTCATAGCTCCATTAGTTTGTTTTGAACACTTGATTTTTGAATTGAAGTGTTGATTAAAGTTTGATTAAGATTTTGATTTGTTTGTTCAATATGAAAGTTTTGTGTATTTTTATTTAATATTTGTTATTTAGTTATTACAATTCCACGTTGAAGAGTGTTAAATGAGAAAGGAAAAGCAAATATTGTTGCTATATATATATATATATATATATATATATATAATATATATATATATATATATATATATATAGACACACACACAATATAGTAGTAGTAGTGACTGATTTTTTAAGAAAAAGCGAGTAGGATAGAACTTACTGAGACATCATTTTTAACTCTTGTTAAGCTTCGATAATCCTACAGTTCAAGTTTTGAAAATATCCAATGTTTCTGCTATGGCTATACATGCAATATACTATTAGACTATATTATTCTGCTCTATACTATACAAATTATATAATTTAGATAGGTGCAATTTTGTAGAATAAAAGTTTGTGCTTAGGGTAAGAATAAAATTTACAAATAAAATAGCCTCTATTACCTATCCTTATGAAGCTCTATTTAAAACCACTTGCATTCTCTCTCCACTCGATTACTTTTTTATCTTGTATGACTTGTTATCTTCTATCTTTAAGAATAGCTTCAAACCAATTAGCAGTTACTATGGCTTCCAATTAAAACTTTTTTTAAAAGTTCGAACCTGAACATGTTCAAACTATTACAGAAAAAAGTTCGAAGAGCTTTGAAAAGTATATCGACATATTTGTAGTTTGCTAGCTTCAAAAACAGCCATTTCCTTTTGAACAAGGTTTGTTGATGGTCAAGTTTCATTTCAGTGTCTGATTGTTTAATAAAAAGTTTGAGTTAATGAGCTAAATTCAATTCATTTTTAGTACTTTTTATGTTATCAGTTATACTATCAGTATTTACTTCCTTGTCATTATCAGAGCTATCCTCAGATGGCTGAAATAATGAGTCGAATGAGATTAGCACAAGATTATTTATCTTTAATTATTACATTTGAATTTAACAAGAACTTCATGACATGAATTAAATGAATGTTTCTTTTTTCAATTATTCGATATTCAAATATCTACAAGTTGACTTACATTCAATCACAATTTCAGAATGTTGTTGAAGCAGGTGTTTTTTGAATAATTTTAAAGAGTTTATACTTTAAACTCTGTATTTCTTTGGAAAATTCCAAATAGTTCCATGCCTCAGATCATCTAGTTGTGCTAACATCTTAAAACTTATCAATATTTTTTATTTTGTACAACTAAAACTTTTATTAGCTCGTTAACACTATATTAACTCGTCCTTTTTTTTTTTTAATTCAGAAGTTTTAATGATCTATTTTATGTGTATCACCATGGAATTTCTTTAACAATTAAAAATATGTAATGTATGTCACTATTTTAATTTTAAAACTTAAAAGTAACGTATTTAAAATTTTGTAACTAAATCATTTGTTATGTACTCCTTTGTGGCTTAAACTTTAAAAGTGTTGCTTGTGAAAAAAAGTATTGCACAACAAAAATTAAAAGCAACAAAAACTGTTTAAAAAAGTCAATGTTTAAAGAAGATTTTTTAAATAGAAGGTTTAAATGTTAAAAAATGATAAAAAAGAACCTAGTTTTGATATATATATATATACATGTTCGAACTTTTAGAGAGAAAAAGTTTGAACTTGAACCACTTAAAAAATAATAAAAGTTTGAAAGTTAGAACTTAAACATGTTCAAAATAAAAGCCCTAGCAGCTACCAGTGATACCGTACCTTTTTAATTTTTTAATCAGTCAGCAATTAGGTACTGTATTGAAAGCCTAGGCAAAGTCCCAATAAATAGTATCAAATGGATAGTTGAGGCTGTTGAGTTAGTCAACAAGATAGGCTTCTATTGTAATGATTTAAAGAAAATTTGAAATTGAGGCCGTCTTCACAGATTTTAAAAAGACATGATTGTATGTTATGTATGTGTATATTATGTTTTGTATGTGTATATTGTATGCAAGTATACATCTTTATATGCAAGTTGTGTAAATCTGATGAATGCTATATTATTAAAATCCTAAAATAAATGCTATATTATTATTTGTGTAGAATATTATTGCAGAAATTGAATACAATTTGTAGGAGTTACCGAATTTGTTAAGAAATATTGTTTACTGAAGGTAATAATAAGAAGAGAAAGTTATTTAAAATTTTTTTACTTGAATAAAAAAAATAACAAATTTTTATTGATAAATAAGATAATCATTTCAACGAAATTGAACAACAAAGCTGCCATTTTATAGTTATAGATAGACAAAATTATCGAAGAGTTATTAAAGTAGATTTATTTCATCTGCAACATTTTCTATATCATTAAAATGGCCAGAAAACATCTCCTGGTAATAAATCCTGATGTTACTTCCAAATAAACAGTTGGAAAAAACTAGATTATTTATTTACTTATGTATTAAATAAAAATATTGAAGTAATAATACCTTATTAGCGGCTATTTAAAATGCTACCAATAAATTGCATAAAAATCAAAAATAAATTGCTGTAATGTCAAAAAATAAATTACAGTAAGGTCAAAATATTTATTTAAATGTTTTCCAGAGGTCTACAAATTACAATTTTTAGTTTTTTGTATTTTTTAGATAAAGTACTTATATACTGGACCTTTTGATTCAGAGATTGCTGAAAGTATGATAGACTGCGATTCAGAGGGTCCTCTAATGATTCATACTACAAAGCTGTTTCCTTCTGAAGATGGAACACAGTTTTATGCATTTGGTAGAATTTTTAGTGGAACCCTTCATGCCGGGCAAAATGTTCGAGTTCTTGGCGAAGGGTACACTTTAGAAGATGAGGAGGACTCGCGTATTAGTGTAGTAGGGCGTCTTTGGATTAGTGAAGCCAGATACAAAGTTGAAGTGAGTCGAGTTCCTGCTGGCAACTGGGTTTTGATAGAAGGTGTAGATGAACCAATAGTAAAAACTTCAACAATCACTCAGGTTAATGGTGTTGAAGAGGTAACTAGTTTAGATTTTAATTTTGTTTTACAAGTTTTAAATTTAACTTGACTTTGCTACAAGAGTCATATTTTTAGGTGTATATTTTTCGCCCGCTAAAGTTCAACACAAACTCTGTTATTAAAATTGCTGTTGAACCTGTTAATCCTTCAGAGCTCCCTAAAATGTTGGACGGTCTAAGAAAAGTAAATAAAAGTTATCCTCTTGTAACAACCAAAGTAGAGGATTCTGGTGAACATATTTTGTTGGGCACAGGTGAATTGTATCTTGATTGTGTTTTGCATGATCTACGAAAGATGTATTCTGAAATAGGTAATGAACATTTAAGTTATTTGCATCAAATATACTATATTGTTACTAAATGCAACATCTCCTTATCTTTTAATACTGATGTTTAAGTTTTTAACAAAAAAAAATTCTATGTTTTTAAAGAAAAACCTTGTTGTGTTTATCAAAAGGCATTTAAATTTGGTTCTAATTTTATAAAATCAATATTGTTGCATTATTTACATTAGTCACAATATTTAAAAATTGAAATGCAATTGTTTGTACAAATTTATTTCTAAAACAATTTGTAAAAACTTTTACAGAAATAAAAGTTGCAGACCCAGTCGTGACCTTTTGCGAAACTGTTGTTGAAACTTCATCTCTAAAATGTTTTGCTGAATCACCCAACAAAAAGTAAGTTATTTTCCTAAATATTGTTAACTCATATTAATTTAAACTTGTTAAAATTAAAAAAAAATTAAATATGCAAGTGAGTTGTATTATTTGGTCTATGCAGTAATATACAAGTGAAATGTATTAATCTTTTTATATATATATTGCCATTAATGTTAGTAATATTAAGTCAGACTATAAAAAATTAAAAACACATAATTATGGAATCTTGATGTACACATAAAGCAAAGTAATTTGTACATCAAGATCCATTTTTGATTCAAAATATAAAAAGTATAAAAATTTTGTTTTTATATTTTTTATATTTTGACATTACATTTAAGCATCTTCAAAAGTGCATGTCATTAAATATGCTGATAATTTATGCTCTCAATTCATAAAACTTTCAACCATGCAGCAATTATTTGTAACAAGTGCCAATGATCAAATCAGCCCTTAAAAGTTCTTGCAGGCATCTTCCTAAGATTAATCAAAAAAAATGTCAAATCGAATGATCAGCCTCTTTTAACAATGTTTTGAGTCAGACCTATAGTGCGAAATCTTAAGAATTCGCGTAAGCTGCAAGTTTTGCATCCAAAATCATCTGGATTAACAAAATCTTTTTCAGGTTTTTGTAAATTCAGTCTACTATTCCTGTATTAAAATTCTCTACTATAAGAAATTGAAAAATGTGTCCTTGGTGAAAAATTGTTTCTACTTTGATTACAATGAGTTTGTTATCAACACTAATAGAAGAAAAACACTAATAGAGGATATAAACATATATATATATATATATATATATATATATATATATATATATATATATATATATATATATATATATATATATATATATATATATATATATATATATATATATATCCTCAGAATTAGGAAAAATAAGGTCGGTAATAATTTGCCAAACTCAATCTTTAAGAGGTCGGTAAAAATTATTTAAAATAATGGTCTTACCATAAAATATAGAAACCAGGTAGGCAATTTTTGACGATCTCAAACATATTCAGGTTAGCTGTTAGGTCGGCAATGCGGAATGTCAACCTAACTCTTATTCTCAGGGTTGTATATATATATATACAACCCTGGGAATTAGGGTTGGTAATCCTTAGCCTTAAAATTTGAAATTAATATTGATAGTTTTTTAGGCTTTTTTTTAGTTCTTGAGTCAGAGCTATTTTACCTTAATGGTGGTAAATAGCTGAAACCAGATTTATGTTTATCTATTTATTTCTAATCAGCTTCATAACTATAAATTTAACTTCAGGTAGACTCTCCAGAATAGTCTGTAGGCCAAAAAAGGAGAATGCAGTACAAAACATTAAATAAATGTACTTATTGCATTGACTAGCTATTTCGCTGTTGCATCTACTTATTTGCATTGAACAACTATTCTATTGTTGCTGGCTAACAAAATCACATTACAATCAATCAAGCAAAATGAAACACAATAGGTCAATAAATCACAATATTTGAAATAGTCGTAATTGTTCTTTTTCATTTTACAAAGTTGTTGCTGTACACATTAAAAGTGTACGGCAACAATGTGACATGTTATGGATAATATATGCAACATTGCCAAAAACTAAACATTTTATAAGCTCTCTGCCAAAATTTAAAAAAATTAGAATTATTATTAACAAACTTCATTAAGTAAAGAAATAATGTTTTATATCAAGGCTAAATTTACAAGTTTCGTATAATTATAGTTATGAATTTGTATGTAATAAATTTTAATACATTAAAATTTATTACATCTGAAGTTATATATAATAAAGCATGAGTATAAATTTTATAAAATTAAAAAAAAAAATGTCTTTAACTAACTCACTCCCAACAAGTTTGCAAGCAACTACTATAAGTTTTGAAGTTACTAGTGAACAAAGAATATTTTTGACAGAAGAATTGAAAAGGTGTAGGTTACACGAGTCTGGAAAACATGAAGATGGGAAAGAAAGATGGGAAAGAAGTTTTTTAAAAGTTATTAAAGTTGTTTAAGAATAAGTTATTAAACTCAAGATGAGATCTTAGCTTTGCTAATAACAAGAAAACTGATCAAGCAATTGCTAGAGAGGTCAGAGTGTTTTCCAGAGTTTTTTTAAATTCAAACCACAGATATCATTTTCCAGCAGATAGGAAAACAAGATTTAGCAAGCACTTATTAAATAATTTGAAGAGATTTGAAGAGAATTCTGGAGAACAATTTTGTAAGACTATTATTATGAATTATAATAATCTTGTTATGGCTGTCAAGGATACAGCAATAGTAAGTTATGCATTCAGAAACAACAATTTTGGTTGTTAAAAAAAAAAGAGATATGAAACTCTATTTTTTATAAATTTTTTAAAAAGCTTTTGTTTATTGATTTAAAATCTGAAGTTTGTGATTTTCTATTATGTATTGTTCATTTGTTAAATGCAAAGCTTCAACATTAACTCTATTATTAACTTTGTTGATAACATACCAGTTAAATATATAGATGCAAATACCACTCGTTGACCTAGTTGACTGTTTAGTTTGTGTAGTAATCAAACATCAAGCTTGGATTTATTTCTCATTTTGTGCAAGTATTCTGTAGTAGCATGAAAACATTTAAAATTTGCTTGTTGATCAGCTTGTAGTCATTATAAAACACTTTCTGCTTTAAACCCTATAAATCTGACTCCAAGCATTTGAATTTCAATTTCATTGGTCTGCCAAATCTGACTCTTAATTTGCTTTTATAAAAGTATTGAAAACAATGCTTTGCTATTCGAGAAAAAAGGATACATCATCATTTTTTTCATATGTAAGAGTTGCAGTCAAGAAATTATTATTGACTTGATAGACCGATTCACACCCCACATATACTTAAACCATGGAAACTCCATAAAGCTTCCAGAAACCTCATTTTTTTTTAATGATTATTACTTTGTAACCAACCCAATACATTTACTTTTTCAAGAAAACATTTTTTCTTTCAGAAACAAGCTTACTATGATAGCTGAGCCTCTAGAAAAAGGATTGGCAGAAGATATTGAATCTGGAAAAGTACAAATATCATGGGATAAGTAAATAATTGATTTTTTAAATAAAATTTTTTAAATTTTCTGTTATAAAACTTTTTTAACTTTTATTCAGGTAAATTATTTTAATTAATATTTTTTATTTATTAATATTTCAAAATGAATTTATTTAGAAAACGTCTTGGCGAGTTTTTTCAAACAAAATATGATTGGGATTTGTTGGCAGCACGGTCAATATGGGCTTTTGGACCTGACTCATTTGGCCCTAATATTCTGGTTGATGATACTCTTCCAAGTGAAGTATGTATATAGCATAGATCATCAGTATAGTTTAATGAGGATTTTTTTTAATATGCAAAGAAATTTAAATTATATTTTTTCTTTTACCATATTTTTCTGAATTTATTGGTAAAATTTTTGTTGTTGTAAAATAAACACTAAGTTTAAAATTTGTAAAAGATAAAAAAAACTTTTTAATAGTAATATTAATTAGTTTAATATATTATTTAACACTAATAAATAGAAATATATTTGAATAGTAATAGTAATTTGTAAAAAAACCTTGTAAAAGAATGTTTAAATTTTATAAATAGTGTATACATTATTGATTTCTATTTCTTAAGAAAACAACAACATCTGTTGACATCAATTGTTTAATTAGTTTTGTAGTTTTCTTTAATTTTATTTTTTATTCTTTAATTTTATTATTATTATTATTGTTATTATTATTGTTATTATTATTATTATACACAAGTTAAATTAATACATGGTGAGTAATTTATCTTTAAACAGGCTTGGTCGAGAAGCGGGAGTGATCGCTCTCGAATACTGACCACAGAATTAAATTTAGTTGCAAAATACTGGCTAGGTTTTTAAGTCGTTTTGAGAATATTTAAGTTTGTGTACGAAACAAAAATTTTTTGTTTTACGGACATACATGGAAACATAAAAACTTAAATGTTCTCAAAACATCTTGGTGCGAAAGAATAAAAAGAATATTCGGGAACACTAAGGGTGGAATGCAAGAAGCAAACTTAAGTCAAGTTCAAAGCAAACTTAAGTCAAGAACTTTATTTTGTAACCAATAGCTGCAGATTATTTTTTGAGGGGAAAACCCATACTCTGTCGCTATTGGTTATAATGTAAAGTTCAAGTCAAACTTGACTCAAGTTCGCTTCTTGCATTCCACCCTAAGGGAATAAAATTCCACTTTTTAGAATATACTGAACACCAGTAATTACAGCCTTTTCTAAGTTTTCATTATTTTTTAAAGCAGGTTCTAAAATAGATCTAAATAATTGTGTCACCGTTTTAGCATCTCACGGATGAACAAGCACCGCGCCTGAGGTCACGACAGAACACAAATATATATAGCAAATAATTAGATATAAAGAAAAGTTTCTAGATGTTGGTTTACTAACTCTAATTATTTTCGCTTAAAATGCCATTCTTAAAACTTGTTATACTTTTTTTAAATACTAATTAAAATTAAAAAGCCCACTCACTGAACATCATTAGCGATATTGTGAAGCAGTTTCGCTTCCTCGTTATAAAGTATTTTTAACCTTTTTAGTTGATTTCTATCTTGTTAATTTAATTTCTATAGTAATTCAGTGATTTAATCATTTCATTTGTTTATCTTACTAAGAAGAATTGCTTCAAATATGTGAAACTTTTCAAACTACGCAAAACATAAAATAGGTATTAAAAAAATTAACTTTTTTATTTATAAAATAATTTAGCTTAAATAAAACTAAAACTTGCAAACTTTGTTAAATAAAGAATATTTGTTTCCTTTCAAAACAATCGTAAGATTTTACTTTATATAAAAACATCGCTTAATTTTATAAAAAAATCATAAAAGAGCTATGTTTCAAAAATGTTTGTTCTAAACATAATTTATTTAGCTTCAAGTTTTTTTGTGTTTAAATTTTTTTTTTTTTTTTTTTTTTTTGTAATTGTCTCTCTTCGGTCCAATTAATCATTTGCGCTTTTTTTTTGCTTTTTAAAATGTTCTCAAAACGACTAAAAAATCTGGCCAGCTTTTCGCAACTAAATATTATTTACGTCAGCAATCGAGACCAATCGCTCCCGCTTCCCGACCAAGCCTGTTTAAAATATGTTATGTTTAAAGTTTAGTTTTAAATAAATATGAATAATAAGAATTTTAAATCAAAAGCTTATATTTTAAGTTAATATTATTTTTAGGTTGATAAACTCTCTTTAAACTCTTGCAAAGATTTCATAGTTCAGGGGTTTCAGTGGGGTACAAGAGAAGGACCTTTATGTGATGAACGTAAGTTAACTTTGAGAAAACTTATTTGTAATGTTTAATATACATTTGCATTTTTAGTTGTATTTCTTCCTTATTGTGTATAAACTTTCATTTCTAAACTAAGTTCATACAACTATATCTTATCATGTATGTAGCATTTATAATACTATGTAGTATAGAACAGTTTGAAAAATTACAACTGGTCAAAACTAAAAATGTGACTAAAATTGTTATTTTGACCTTTTAAAATAAATTTTTGCTTGTAATGTTTGACCGGTTGAAAAATCAGAGTTTTGATAAACAAGTTTTACAAATAATCATGATGTAATTTGAAAAATACATATACAAAAATTTCATAAAATCATTTAAATTTTAAATAAGCGATTAAAATAGTTTTATTGTTTACAACATGCTACTTCTATTTGCATCAATGATGAATTTATGTAACCCTAATAATAATAACCCTTTCTTTTTTTTTTTTTTTTTTTTTTTTTGCCTCACTTATTCAAATTGCTTTCATTTTACTGGTGGTTAAAAACTTCTTTTTCATGAATGATTGAAGTTTTTATTTTATTATTGTTTTAATAAAAATATTTAATATATTATTATCTTTATAATAGTATAAAAGTTTTAATAATAATATTAATTAATTATCTATATAATAATTGCTGTATTTAACTGAGAACATTTTTACTTTTAAATGTACTCAGTCACTTTTTTTTTTTTTTTTTTTTTTTTTTTTAAATCTTTTATTTTTTTATTATTATTATTTTTTTTATCTTTAAATCTTTTTATTTATTTTCTCGTAAGTTTTTGCTGCAATAAAACAAAGTTGTGTAAAATGAATGCATGAATTATAGGTCAATTTAAAATTTTCTATAACAAGATTTTTCAAAATATGTATGTTTAGTAAAATCTCATTTTTGTAACATTAGTAATTTTTGTAGCAGTGTTTCATAAAACAATTATCTTTTTTGTATTAAGTATGAAGTTAGTAAAAGATTTGCGCACTAGTGTTAATAAAGTTATTAATAACTAATTTTTTACAGTTTTTCAAATGAGCAGAGATAAAAAAAATATTTTATCTCTGCTCATTAAAATCAGAAATATAAAATTATTATTAAAATTTTTTGTATGTAACTAAGAAGATTTTCTCTACCAACTGTACATTTTTTTTTCTTCTTCATTCAATCTATATATTTTTTTAGCTTTTTGCCGCTGATGAGAAGCATTGCAGTGAATGAATTATTTTTAAATAAATTTTAAATTATCAATTGCGCAATTAATAATTTTTTTTTCATTTCTATTATTGAACTGTAATAAAAATATTAAACATCAACCTGTCTTTATGAAGGCAAATAAAAAGAGACAGACAACACTTTCATTTTTCAATAGCATTCATAAAACAATTTCTTTTAGTAATAAGTATTCAGTTTAAATTTTTGTTTTATAAAATTTGTTTTTTATTATTATCAAATTTCTTTTTTTAATTGAGTAAAAATCAGTGCATGAAGGAAATTTTGAACAAATATTAGCAGGTAATTTGAACAAAAGTTATTTACGAGTTTAAACTTAGAAAATAAATAAATTTAATTTAAAATTTATTTTTTCAAAAAGAATACAAGTTCGTTAATTTTTTAGCTTTCTAAATTAAAGAACTCATATTTTTTGTTTAGTTTTAATTATGAAGAACTATTACTTAGATAAAAATTTAAACAAAGAAAAAAATTAAAATTTTGATTGTCAAAAAAAAAAACAATTGAGCACCAATACCATGTTAGCCGGTCAAATTGACCGCTTGCCTTCGATTTCTTATTTTACACTCTGCTATGTAACAATAAAAAGTTTTTTTTATATAAATTAGTCTTTCTTTTCTTCTAACGTATTTATTGTGATGGAATCAACACAAAGATTTCAGTGAATCATACTCTATAAAGCTCTTTAAAAGATTTTTTTTCTTTATCAAGTTTTTATTTTATAACTCTCTACAAAATACTCAAGATTTCTGGTAAATGTTGATTTCTGGTAATAATGAACTGATGTTGTAAGAATAAATTCTGTAATAATAAATTAATGGCATTGCAATATATTTGAGTTGTTACAATAGCAACAGTAAAACTTAAATTTAAGAGTTCATATTTTACATGTTTAGCAATTCGTAATGTGAAATTTAAGATTCTTGATGCTGTTATTGGAAGCGATGTTATTCAAAGATCTGGCGGTCAAATTATTCCAACTTCCAGAAGAGTTGCATACTCTGCCTTTTTGCTTGTAAGTGATAATTAGTAGTGTGTCAAATTACTTGTGTGTCAAAAGTTATAAAAAGTTATAAGACAAAGTTGTAACAATTTTTTTTTTTTTATGTTTAAGGCTATTCCTCGTTTAATGGAGCCATATATGTTTGTTGAAGTGCAAGCTCCTGCAGATTGTGTTTCTTCAATATACACTGTTCTTGCAAGAAGGAGGTTAGTGAATAATTATTTTATAGTAACCAGTTGAAACAGGAAATGAGAAGTGTGGTATTCTACTCTCTGTGTGTGAGCATGCACATTTGTGTGTGTAATAATATGTATTAATACAAATTTATGAACACTTATATTACAGGGTTATGCAAAATTATAAAGTGCTTTATGCAAAATTATAAAGTGCTTTATGCAAAATTATAAATTGCTTTATGCAAAATTATAAAGTGCTTTATTTAACAATAAATAAATGCCATTATAATAGTACAGGTCATTTTCAGAATCATCTAAGAATACATAAGAATTAAAATACAATATTAAATTGTAATTAAAAATTAAATGACTAACTGGCTGAAAAACATAAACCAAATCAGTAACGTTTTTATCTAATTAATGCAAGTTTTTTAAATAAATGTCTAATTCGATAAATAATCATTCAACCAAATACATTGCCGAAACTTTAAACATTAGCCAAAGTGCTGTAAGAAACTGCATAAGAAATCATCAAAAAGGCATCAAATTTGCTACTAAGGGAGAACGCCACAAGCAAACAATCAAAAACAAAGATTTGTTGTTCAGTGAAATCGAAAATACTTTATTTAATACGATAGCAATAAATAATGAACTAACACAAAATGAAATGGTAAATAAAGTTAATGCAGCAACCGGTATGGTAATATCTAAATCAACAGTATCAAGGAAATTGCGGAAAATAAATATAACGCGAAAAAGGCTTTCAAAGAACGAAATTCCCCAGTAAATATTGAAAAAAGGGCCATATAGGCCCGCCGTATCTCGCGTATTTCTAGTGATAAATTGGTCTTTTTAGACGAATCAGGATTTAATCAGCATTTGAGAAGACAATATGGGTATTCCCAAAAAAATGAAAAGGCATATTTCATCGTTTCCGGAAACAGAAATACAAATCGAAGTTTGGTGTGTGCAATAAATATTTCTGTTGTGGTTGCTTATTAATTAAGAACTGGAGCTTATAATGCTGAAAGCTTTGAAAGATTTATATGAAATAACCTGTGTAATTATTTCCGACAAAACCCAGACCATATACTGATAATGAATAATTTTCCATTTCACAGATCAAGAAGTATTATAGAAGTTTTAAATGAATTAAGAATAAATAGAGAATATTTACCGGCATGGTCTCCTCAATTAAATTCCATTGAGGAATTTTTTAGCATGATAAAGGCAAGATATTGCGGAATAAAAACTTTAAATAATGAAATTAATATTAGAGATGCATTGGAAATAATTTTTAATCGAATGCGTGAAATTAATGAAGAATTAAGTGGATTTTGGAGATCAATGGAACTATGGTTGGAAAAAGCTAAACAAAACATGATTTTTGAATAAAGTAGTTGCTTAAATTAATATAATTTTTTAGAAGTCTAAATGTTAAATGACATGAGCTTATATATAAATAAATCATATATTCGAACTTTTTTATGCTTTAAATGGATTTATTAAAGGATTCGAAATTTTGCATAAAGCACTTTATAATTTTGCATAAAGCAATTTATAATTTTGCATAAAGCAATTTATAATTTTGCATAAAGCACTTTATAATTTTGCATAAAGCACTTTATAATTTTACATAAAACAATTTATAATTTTGCATAAAGCACTTTATAATTTTGCATAACCCTGTAATACTTAGTGTATCTGAGGTGTAACAGAGGTTAGGAAGTGACCGAGGCCCTAGCTTCGGCCCTTGCCAAATATTTACGGCTCTTGCAAGTTTTTTTCATACAGCTCTTCTGAATCAAAAAAAAGTTTGCTTGAAAAGACAACTAATGGTGCTTAGTGTAAATTCGGACTTGAAAGTCAAGCTCAATGATTGAAATGAATCAATTATGTTATTCATTGTGATGGATCTTTATATATAAAAAAGAAAAAGTGTAGAAAAGAAATACATGATGATGAAATTAATTAAGACTTTTTAAATCAGAATTGAAAAATAACTTTAATCAAGTTGAAAGTTATGAACTATTTGTTGAAAAATACTAACTAGACAACCATTTTGTTCTTAAGCAAAATTACAAATAGGCTATAAATAAATTGGAAAAAGTGTTGATTTATTTAGCAAATCGCACACAAAAGTACCATTTCTTTCAGGTTTCACTTAAAAATATTCTGCTGAAAACAGGAATTATAAATAAGCAATATAAGCAATAGTAAAATTAAAATAGAACCCAAACATTTTTGTTTCTTCAATACTTTTAATATATCTTGCTCTCTACTTAACATATTTTCAGAGTGATTTTCTCTCTAGTACTGATATTAATAAAATTTAAGTGTTTTAATAACTGTAGAGGGTGGCCGATAAGTACGTATAATACTAAGGCAGTCATACCAGAGTTTTGTAACAATTGATATATAGAAAAATGTTTATTAAATGAACAAATGAACTGTAACAAATAACTTTTATAACATATTTTCGAAGTATCGGCCATCTGCGTCGATACAGGCTTGAATTCGCTTCTTGACCGACTCCTGATTGTGCGCCGCAAGTAGGCCAGATCCAAATTAGCCTAGGCCTTTAACAATTCTCGACGAAGATCTTGCAAATTTTTGATTTTCTGGCGAGACAAATGTTTATCTAAAACGCCCCAAACGGAAAAATCGAGTGGTGATAGATCGGGGCTATTTGGAGGCCACAAATCTTTCCTGAGGTAATCCTTGATTTTCTTCATGTCCAAGAAAGCTAGCGTGCTTTTGGCTCCGTGTGCAGGCGCCCAGTCTTGTTAGAAGATCATTCCTGGGTTTTTTTGCTTCCATGGAATGACAACTTTCTTGATAATCTCATCTTGGTAAGTTTTGGCGTTAATCTTAATGCTTTTGTCGATAAAAATCAGCTCCATTGTGCCATTTGCAAAGACTCCACCCCACACCATTAAACTTTTTGGAAACAGCGTCTTTATTGCAACTTTTCTTCTGCAGCTGTTTTTTAGACCTGGTGGCAAGAGTTGTCGGTGATTTTGAGAGTTCTCGGCAACTTCAATGGTGAAAACTTTTTTGTCCAGCCATAAGACATCCTCAAAACAGCGCACTCGAAAAAACTTCTTCAATTCCTGGCACTTTTCAAGGCGTTTTTGTTTCACTTGATCTGTTAGCTGTTGTCCGTTCAAAAGTCGATAGCTTTTGAGTACAAGATCATTGTGTACAATCGCTTGAAGAGTCGATCAAGCCATTCCGAAACTTTTTGCCATCTTATTAAGGCTCACGCCGTCATTTCTGGTGATGCGCTTCTTGATTTTTCCTCAAGCCTTCCGAGTATTCACAGTTCTTGGGTGGCCTTATTTTTTCTTCTCCTGTACGTCACCCGTCTTTCTCCATTGCGCCAGAACTTTGTAGACCAATTTGATTGAGCACTTGAGCCTTGTTGCGATTGCAATTGCTTTCATTCCTGATCGGCTCAAATTTACAATAGCACTTCGATGCGGCAAAACTTTCGTCATACCTAAAATTCAAAAATAAAAAACGTAGAAATACAGTAGAATAAATTTTAATTCAAAAATAAAATACAGTAGATGATCTGTGAAAGAAAAAACACTGTAATGGTCATTTTTTTTAGATCAAATTATGCTACTAATTTTATGCTGACAATTGAACAAAACGTTTCTGATCTGATACAACAAATAAATTTTGATTAACAGCTAATTGTAAAAGAATTTGGTACAATATTTACCTAAGACTAAATTGTAAGTTTTAAAAGTTGTAAAAAAAAATGTCTACACAATTAAGAAGGAAAAATAACCTTTTTACAAAATTACCATACCAATAAAAGTTTTTAGGTACTTTTTTTTTATAATGTTCTGTATTTTGATGAAAGTAAAAGCAACCAAAAAAATATTAAGAAAAAACACCTGTGATGACACATTCAATAATAGTTTATATTAATTTACTTGTTAGTTAAGTGGATTCAATGTGAGTTATGTAAATAAGGGGTCTTTGTAATTTTTTTAATATTTATTGTAATTCAATGTGAGTATTTAATTAAGTGCTGGAATTACAGAAACAATTTATAAAATGTTATATATAATTGTGAACTTTGTTTCTAAATAGAATTTTTAAGTTTTAGCTGTGTCTAAAATTATGAGCGTTTAATTGATTAGTCGGGAGATAAATGATAAAAAAATTCAAAATAATGGTAATACAATTCTGTGGCCATTGGTCAATTTAAGATAAGTGAAAATATGACATTTAGCAGGAGAGGAGTTTGAAAATTTGATTTGTTGCTATAAATCGGGTAATAATAAAAAATAAATTATTTTTTTAAAACTACAGCAATCATAGTTTGACCAAATGAAAGATCTAACGAAATATAACAAAATTGCATACTTATCTCAAAATGATCAATATTACACTTAGCATAAGTTGATCAACGGCCACAGAATTAATCATTCTACTTTTCTAGATTACTTATTTAAAGTATAAAAATTTCAAATTAATCAAAATTTTATTGAAAAAATATAAATATATATTGGTAATTTATTATAATCTTTTATGAAATATCACTTTTTAATAAAAAAATCTTTTTAAATTTGTTGAAGAAATTTACATAAATAATAAAGTAATTACATTTTATATTTTAGAGGTCATGTTACTCAAGATGCTCCAATTCCTGGTTCACCTTTATACGTTATTAAAGCGTTTATTCCTGCAATAGACTCTTTTGGTTTTGAGACTGATTTACGAACTCATACCCAAGGGCAAGCGTTTTGTTTGTCTGTATTTCATCATTGGCAGGTATTATTAGTTGTTATTAATGAACTAATATGTTTAAATATTTTTTTAAGTAACCAAATTGTTTTGTAACTGAAATTTTTATTAAAAAGTTTATTGCTTTTTTACCTTTTTTTTTCTTTTTTCTTTTAGATAGTTCCTGGAGATCCATTAGATAAAACCATCGTAATTAGACCTTTAGAATCTCAACCAGCAACACATTTAGCAAGAGAATTTATGATTAAAACTAGAAGAAGAAAGGTAAAAGTTACTTTGCAGAGTTTTAAAACACTTTAAATTTTTTATTAAATTTTTTATTAGTTCCTGCTACTTGTAACAATGTAATATGCAAAATATGTAGCCGATGTCTTGAAGGAAATATTTAAAACAAATTTAAATCTGATAGGATAATATTATTTTAAACTTTTTTTTTTACTGTATTCTCGCATGTTTTATTTATAAATACCCAGTAGTCTCGGTTTCAGTTTTAAAAACTAATTTTACACCAAAAACCTTTTTTTTTTTATGTCACATTTTGTTTTGATTGTTAAATTTATAAGCAAATATATATTAAGCTCATCTCGCACATAAAATTTATTTCAAAAACCACGGTGAAGATTGTCATGAATTTTTTTTTCTTACATAAAAGTTTTTGTATTTAAAATATCTTTGGTGATCAAATGATGTATCGTGTCATATAATGATGGTTTTTGTTAATCAACGTTATTTTGATCTAATATTTTCAGTGTGTTAATGATATTTTTTTCTGGTAAAAAAATAAAATAATTATTTTCTGGTAAAAAAAAATTATTTTTGATTTAAAGTTATGATCTGTTTAAAATTTACACGAAAAACAAAAATGACAAGTTTACATGAAGCTCCAAATGTATAGTTTTCTGAATTGTTTCATTGTGTGTACTAAATAAATAAATTACTTTGTGCATTATGCTTAATTATAAAGCTGTATATATTACGCAATAGTATGTTATTTTTCATTCTTTTTTTTTTTTTTACAGGGTCTAAGTGAAGATGTTAGCATCGATAAATTTTTCGACGATCCTATGTTGCTAGAATTAGCCCGCCAAGATGTCATGTTTAACTACCCTATGTGAGAAACTTAAGCACCGCGTATTTTCCCGTGACTAACCTGCTCTCATTAACATGAGTTGAAATAAAATAGCTAAACAATCATTGAAAATCAAGCTCCATGAAGTTTTTACTTGTAAATGTGCCATAGATAAAAGCTACTAGAATAAACTTAAAAGATAATTTTCGCTAAACATGTTATGAATAAATGACTGTAAATTTAAAATTAGAGTTTGTTCTTTTTAACGCGTGTTTAAATGATTTAAATTGAAAACAACTTAAGTTTGCGTTTAATTATTTATGTTGATTTTACGTTTTTCTTTTTATTTATGTTGATTTTACGTTTTTCTTTTTATTTATGTTGATTTAAACACGTGTGTTGTCTTACTAATTAATATCGATATAAAGAGGATTTTCGATCGATATATCGATATAAATATTTTCACTGTTTGCATCAGTTTTCATTTTACGATTCTTTCGTATTTTATTATTTTGCCAAATATAATTTTACTTTAACGTTTAACAAAAAAAAGTGTGCAATAATAGTCATGCCATCCTTTTTATTAATTTTTAAATTAGCAAGAAATGTTTTTTGTATGTATGACAATTACCAGTCATACATACAAAAACCATTTCTTGCTAATTTTGTTTTTATATTTATATATATATATATATATATATATATATATATATATATATATATATATATATATATATATATATATATATATATCTGTGTGTGTATTATTCATCCTTTTTCCTTATGGATTTTTATTTATTTTACTTATCATTCAACAAAAACAAAATATTGGGTAGTATTAATATTTTAAAGTGTGCCACGCCTTTATCAAGCTCTCTTAGATCTGGCACTGTAATTATATGTAAAGGAATACTTCTTTCGTAATCAGCTTGTTAAGTTATGTTGTGTTTTTGTTTTAAACAAGAAACTCTCTTTGTGTTACCATTCGAGTTTTGTCGTGTTCTTTTAAAAGATCTTGTAAACAGTTTTTATAAAGTAGTAAAATCGGAAAGGAAAAATAAACCATCTGCTGTGCGCGAATAGCAAAAAAATAGTGGCAAACAGGTGAAATGTTGAAATACTTGGAAGTCTTGAAAAAAAAAATATCGGATTTATATTATGAGTAAAATTTATAGGCATATATTTTTAATTTGATTCTTCTGCTACTTAGTTAAGTTTATGCTTAAAACATGGTATCTTCTGTTATGGTTAAAAAAAGTTGTGAAAGTTAAATTATCTTGTGTTGTAAACGTTTTTCTAAACTTTTAACCTAAAATGTCTTTGTCAGTTTTGATTAAAAGTGCAACTCATCTTAGAGGGAGATATGACCGAATTGCTAGAATTACATTTAGGGGTAAGTAATATTTCAGATTTGTCTGATTGACAAGTTAGTTTTTTAGTTCTTTATTAGTTGAATATAAAGGAAGAATGAAAGGATTTTATTGTATAAATAAAAACTTTGTAAACGGAAACATTGTTAGAGCGAAATATTTTTTAAAAAAAATTCTTTAAAGGGAAAACTATTAGCTTATAAAGTAGAAATTAAAGTATATTCAATAAAGGAATTAAACTATTAAATATTGCTAAAGACTTTAAGTATGTTTAATAGAGTAAAAAGAAACTGATTAAGTTACTTATAAGTAGAAAATATCACTACGATATATTCATAATCAAATAATATGTACTTAATTACTTTAAATATCAAATTATTTAACTTGTTCATTCATTTATACTTGTTTATAAATACCGTAATTTTTCAAAAATCTCGTCTATTAAAATGGTTCGACTTATTTTTAGTTTCTGGGGCAAGAAAAGTTTACTCATACGTGTTTTAAAGATATTTTTTCAAACTTTTTCTAATAATAGTTCTAATTTGGAATAGATCTTCATGAAAAAAAATATATATTTTGTTCAAAAAGAACTGTTTTAAACATTATTATAAGTATTTAATTATTTTATAATTATTAGTGAAGCTATCATTTATTTGAACCTAAATATACATAATTATTAGTGAAACTTGGCCGTTATTATTGACAATTTCTGTAGTCAATGAAATTGTCATGAAACATTTGCATAGTTTATATTGCAATGAATAAGTGAGTAATAAAATTGAATTGGTGGATGTCTATTTATAAAACGTTTCGCTTTGTATTTATTCCAGAATTTTTAAAACTTTGATGTACAAAGTTTTGAGATAATTTTAAATTGTGAAATTTTTATCATTAAACACATTAAATTGTTTAACTAATTATAAACTAAACCATTTTGAAACTTTAATTACCTGTTTATGTTGTGAATAAGTGTCATGATACTATTACTAGACAAAAAAAATGGCATAAATATCACCATTAAATTTAAGGCTTTTCTAAAAGTTCGTTAACATAGATTAGAAGAGACTCTCTTATTTAAAAAGGAACCCTCTCATTTAAAAACTTAAATTAAAAAAAAAAAAGTTTAATTTGAATAGTTTAAAAAAACTTTGTAAACGGAAATTTTTTACATGAACTACTAAAACAAAGTTTTAACTTATTAAACAAAGTTAAAATAAACATATCAAAATATAAAAAAATAAATCATTACATTGTAAAAATGTAATATGAGAACGCTATGTATGAAACTCAAGATGATATTTCAAGACAATAATATATTTTCAAATCAAGTAATCACTCAAATATACAATTCCAGTTTAATAACAATATCTTTTCAAAAATGTGGAAAAAGTCTAACATTATCTTTATATAAAAAACAGACATTAATAGAAAAGGCAAAATATAAAATGTATTCAATAGTGATTGTTAAATCGTAGGGATTTTTGTTGATTTAACTAAGGTTTTTGACCTAGCAAACCATGAAATACTTTTAAAAAACAAGAACATTTGTATAAAGCCAAAACTATTATAGTTTGTATAACACTTGACTAAGAGGAACCAATTTAGATTTGTGGTGTACCTCAAGGTTCAATTTTATGACTATTTCTTCAGGATTTTGTTTTTCATTAATGACTTATATTTAACATTAAAAATACTAAATACTATCTTATTTGCAGATGACTTTAATCTATTTTATTTTCAAAGATAAACGTTTTTTTTTATGTATGTTTAACTAATAATTAAATGAAATAAGGTTTAAAAGTAACAAACTTTCATTGATAGAGAAAACCAAGTTTATCATATTTAATAAATTTTTTTTTTTAAACATCTTTGCTTTCAACAAGGCTGCAAGCAACCACTATTAGAGTTGGAATTTACTGGAAAAGAAAAGATAAAGATTGTAGAACAAGATAACGATTGACAGACGAGTTAAAAGATTGCAAGTTATGTGAATCAGGAAAACAAAATGAAGGAAACAAATTTCAAAAACTGATGTTTGAGAAAAAAAACTAGACAAATAAGAATTTTTGGAGCACATAGGAACAGTCACAGTAAAAGGATGAGACTTAATTAATTGAAGAGTAACACGTAAAATGAATTTTTGTAGATGCCACAAGAGACGCTAGCTCTTTAGAGCAGTGTCCATTATAGTATTTTTAGAAAATAGAAAGAGAAGTAACATTACGACAATGTGATAATGGTTGGAGGTTGGCTGCAAGAGCAGGTCCAACTATGTTTACAATGTGTTTTTGTCTCCTTGTCTAAAAGAAAAAGGGTATCATTAGAAGATCTGCCCCAGATATGGCAACAGTATGCCATACAAGGACGGATTTGAGATTTATAAAGAAAAAGAACAGAATTCGGAGTAAGAAAGTGTCAAGTACGATAATGAGATGCAACCTTAGCAGATGCTAATCTAGTTGAGCCAATGATATCCCTCTTAAATTACCCAATAAAATAATAATTAAAAAGGAATCAATCGTAATTTTACTAAAAGTAATTTTAGATTAAAAAATATTTTTGAATTTTCATATTGAACTGAATTGAAAAATGTTTCTCATATTGAAGCTAAAAAAAAATGTTATTTAAAACAAAACTTTTTCTTAGTAATGCATAATTTTTAATTTTTCTTTCTGTTGCCTGTAGAATTATTACTACTAAATTGCCTTTAAAAATATTAATCACACTAAAAAAAAATGATCGTAAACAAAAACTTGCAGGGTATAAACATAAATGCTTATTGCAAAGCATAGCTTCACGGTCGTTTAGATGTGGAAAGTTATTATACGCAAGCGCAGTGTCAAATTCAAATATTATAATTTTAAAGATGGTGACGGCCTTTAGATACAAAACATTTTCTGAGTAGCAACAACATTTTTAAAGTTTTACTTAGTAGTTATTATTTGCATATTTTTGATAGAATGAAATAATAATAAAGATAATTGAATTGTTGATTCAAAAATGATAAAAACAATATAAAGATGTTTTAGTATATGAAAAACTGTGATTCTCTGCTACATTTATCTGACTGTTAAAAGCGTGATTTGTTTACATTTTGAAAACTCTTTTTCTAAAAATCTGAGCAATACAATTTAATAATTTTCACTTTTTTATTTCGAATAGTCTTATCTTGATTTGAAATTGTTTTCCTCATTTTTGTTCGAATTAGAGAGATACATATATATATATATATATATATATATATATATATATATATAATATATATATATATATATATATATATATATATATATTTATACATATATATATATATATATATATATATATATATATATATATATATATATATATATATATATATATATATATATATATATATATATATATATATATATATATATATATATATAATATATATATATATATACAGTGCCGTGCCAAAAGCCCCCCAAACCCCCGGTTGGGGGGGGGCCTAGGAATTTGAAGGGGCCCTTTTTGAAAATTAAAATCCTCCAATAGGACCAATCAGTGACCTGGATCCGCCATTGATTGTATTGCTGAGTTAGTGGACGTTTTATTTTAGTAAAACTTTCGTTTAGAAAGTTTTGTTTTTGTTTAGCTTAGTTTAAGTTAAATCTTATGAAAAAGATGCTTTGTATTACTTAATTAGTCTACGCAGCGCAAAGATACAGCTGCCGATTTTTAATTTAAAAAGCAATCTTTTATTCAAAAGATTTCCTGCCCAGGCCAAAACCCTCCGTCTATGTATTTACGTTCCACTACACCAATCCTTAGATAGTCAGTCGATGTATACACACTCCACTTCGCCAATTTCTAGATAGTCAGTAGACATGTGTACACTAAATTGTGTTTACCCCTATATCAGTATACAAGTATATATTTGCAACCTATAAAAAGAAACAATCAGATTTCACTACTTGCTGAATTCCGATTGGTTCATTAATAGTCACAATGACTATTAGTGACTTTAGGCACAAAAATTAAAGCAACAGTACCGTTGCGCTAGACACAGCGTTTAGTTAAATTACAAAACATCAAATTATTATTTAATTCCAATTTTTTTTTTTCTTCTTACTTTTTTTGGGGGACGGGCTTGACGTGTTACAAGGGCCCCAAATTTTTTTTTTTTTGTGGGGGGCCTACCAACTGTCTGGCACGGCACTGATATATATATATATATATATATATATATATATATATATATATATATATATATATATATATATATATATATATATATATATATATATATATATATATATATATATAACTCACATCAATATAATTATGTATTGTGACTATAGAGTAGCCTAGCAACAGCTTACAAAAAGTTAATGTTAAAAAAATATCTTTTAATCTTGAAAAAAAAATTGAATACTAATATCAGTAAACATTCTAAGAAAGATCAACAGTTCATCTATCTGAAAAAGTTAAAATTTAAAAATTTCTACGCTCAAAATTGTTTTAAAAACGACTTGAAAACAATAAACAAAAAACACTAAAGTAGCTATTGCTGTAATTACATTTTATTCATTTTAGGAGGTTTTATATTTAATTTGAAACATTTTATCGTGTACTAGAAGTTACTTTTATTATAATTTCCTCTTAATAAACGGCTAAATGCTTATTTAATAGCTAAAAATTAGAAAAGTAGCTCGTTGTCAATGAGAATTTTTTTTATACTCGTTATCGTAGCCATTTTTAAAACTCTTAAAATATGCAAACTTTACTGCGCTTGCGTATAACTTTCCATATCTAAAATGGTCGTGCGACTGTCGCAAGACAGTCGCGCGATCATATGGAAACATAAGTCGTGCGACAAGTTTTGTCTTGCAAGACTGTTTTATAGTCGTGCCATAGGTGTCGCATAGATAATCTCTACGACAATTGTCGCACGACCGTACAATGCGATTGGTTGAATATTAGAAAACGAAATATAAAAAAAATTCACATCAAAATAAAAGGGAAAATAACCAGGAAAGATTTTAGTAAAGAGAGTTTT